GGCCTCGCGGGCACACGAGATAGACCCGACTGGAACTGTCAGCACCTGCCGGCTGTCGGCCAACGGTGGCCAACGGCACCGAATGTTCCAGATCCTTCAAGGACCTTCTCGGCCCTTACCAGGCCTAGGCCCCATAATGGCTTACCACAAGTTAGCAACTCAACACTTTCTGTTCTACTTTTTTTTTCACAAGTATTTGCCCAAGTGAGATTCTTGTGATTTAGCCAGTTGTATGGTGTAATGTTTTCTCTTTTTCAGTGGTATAGAATGTGCTTTTTTTTTTTTTTTTCTCCCCCTAAGGGAATGGTTTCCTCTCTTTATCTCCTTTCTTCATTAAGTTATTTCTAATGGGCTCCTTACTGCAAATTCTGAATGCATTGAAGTCGGTTATATTATTTCTGTATTCTGTCTCCTTTACTGTCTCAGATTTACAAACTAAGTTGTTCTTCCCCAGAAGGGCATTGCAGCACCTAAAGAGGTTACCCAGAGCCTTGAGGAAGCTCTGACCTTGGAGATTTCAGGACTCAGCTAGTTAAAAGCATGTCTGACCTGATCTGGGGTTAGCAGTAGTCTCACTTGGAGTTGAAGGTTGGATCAGATGTTCTCCCCCGGTCATTTTCAGCGAGTGTCTCTTGGATTCTCTTTCATAATCTGTCTTATTCTGTCTTTTTAAATTTCCTTCCACTTCTTTGTTCTCAACTAGGCCTTTCCTGTTGRTTAAGATCAAATATGAATCTCTGCCAGGAGAGTTATCAGTGACAGTTTCAAAAAGACTTGGACTGAATCTTCCTTTCCAGAAGACAACACAGTAGTAAATCTCCAATTGTCACCAAACCTTGTGTTTCAAATGATTCTGCTAGTTGCTTATAAAAATAATAGTTTATCTGCTTGGTGGTAATTAGTGATAGCCTCTTGCCTCTACTACAGACTCAGTGCAGAAGAGAATCTGTACCATGTGCTGAGTGAGGTGTGTAGCACTTAGTTTCTGTGTTGAAGATGGTGGAAACAGACCACTATCAGTCTGTCTGATCCAGCTGTGCTCAGATGGGCAGCTGAGATGCTTTTGAGAGAGATTCACAAATAAGAAGTTAAGAAATAGGTACAGGAACTCTGACCATTTTATAAATCATTCATAGTGTTTAGCCTATGCACAGTGTGAGGGCTTATTTAGCATTTAAGGAAAGTAATTCAATCCAACTCCCATTTCCAATGGAGTCTGAATTCAACTCACCTGACTTTAGATACTTAATTTTCATGCACCAGTGCAGGAGCAGTAACAGGCTATTTCTGTGTGTGTCATCCAGATTGCTATTTGGGAAGTGCTTCTCTCCAGTGAAGCATCCTTATGGTACAGGTCCAACCTAAATTCCTTGGAGAAATGCCTGTGGTAACTTGGAATGAACCATATAAAAATAAAATTTTTATTTTTTATTTTATCTTTATTTTGAAAATACTCTTATGTTACTCCCACCAGCTGAGCACTAAGTCTTAAGTGAGATATATCTGGGATGTGAAAATTGATGTGTATTTATCAAAATTATTATTTCAGTTACTGCAAGATTAATATATCATTTTTGCTCATTATTCACTTTGTATATTAGTCACTGAAAAGCACTAGAATGTTTCTGGAAGACCACACTGGTTTAGAACTCAAAATATTAAAAAAAATTAAAAAAAAAAAACAAAAAAAAAAACCTGCTGAGAAGAGTAATTCCTGGATGCAGTTCAGTATTTCTGGAATCCTCCCAAACAGCAGTAAAGTTTTAGTAAGAAGGTTCTTCCCACAGGGTAAAATAAAAGGTTTTTTCTGATTTTTCCGTGCTGGTGATGGCATTAGGATGTCCATTATATTGTGTGATTAGTCACTTTACATGGAATATTAACAAAACAATGCCTGGAATGGGCAGAAAAAGTAATATGCTGATCAACTCTGTTAACTCTTTGCAAACAAGAAAAAAAGCTCCCCAGGGGTAAAAGACATTATAAAGATTGATACATCTTTACAAGAAAGAATGTGTTTTAGTAGTAGATTATGATGAACTCTCTAATTAGCTTCACAGCTGCCCATCTGTACATTGTCTCCAGCGTAATAACTCTCATTGAATATCCTAGAGCAGACATTTAGTTCTACACAGGGAGATGGTCTCTTTTGTACTTTGTTATGCAAAGAAAAACAACCATGCCWTTTGTTTACAAAGGAAAGAAGCTTGTACTTGAGTAAATAATGTAATAAATTGTATTTTGCTTTTCAGAATATTCAGAAAAGATTCTGCTTTCTAACCTGTGATGCAGCTAGTTACTTGGGAGACAACTTGCGAGGAATAGGCTCCAAGTTTGTGAGGTCTTCTCAGATGTTAACATCATGTTCAGAATGTCCCACCCTCTTTGTAGATGCAGAAACAGTGAGTATATCCGTTTCAAAAGGCATGTACTTCATTGCAGTGCATTATTTTACTGGCTGTTTCACTGTCAAGCATCTCCTGAACAGATATGTCAAAAAGGAACTCTCCTCCTGACTGTAATTTTAGCTCCTTAGTGGAACTGTATTTTCATTCAATTTTTGTATGTTTCTGTAGATTGTTGCATAAATGTAAATATTTTTCAGCATATGTAAATCTAAATATTCTTTTGCAGTATCTTTACTATACTTTCTAGTACTCATAATACTAATACTTGTRTTCTTTTATAGTGACATTTACTAGACATTTTTATTTCATTTCTCCAGCTGCTATCTTGTGGCCTTCTTGAAAAGCTGAAGTTCAGTGTTTTAGAGCTGCAGGAGTACCTGGACACATACAACAACAGGAAAGAGGCAACACTCTCGGTATGCTGAATTATGTTATGTACTTGGTCTTCTCTCTATACTTGCGCTGTGTCAGGAAACTGCACATCCATTCAGATCTTAGTGTTTAAAATAACATTCAGTAGAAAAACATATTTCAGATACTGGAACGTTTCTTCCTGAATATAAGAACCAGAACTAAAAGGTATCTTCAGTATTTCTGGTCTCTCTACCAATTTATTTGTTGATTAATTTTCTTAGTTCATGCAGTTGAAATACTAATAGAAATCAAGACTGTACTTTTTAAATTACAGTCAAAGAAAATTTTCATAGTCTGCGGTAATAAAAAATGGAATTGCAAGTACAAAAATTGCAATTTATATGCTGTGCTATGTAACTGAAATACTGCTTATCTTTCTTTGATTCAAACCATAGATCTTACTCATTTCTTTAATTTCTTTCTGAAAACAGTGGCTTGCAAACTGCAAAGCAACATTTGCTGGGGGCTCACGAGATGGCGTTATTACCTGCCAGCCAGGAGACTCAGAAGAGAAGGTAATGAATGGCCAGTATTACTTCTCTCCCATAAAGTGACATGTGTGATATATCTTGTTCTTGAATCTGCAAGAACCTGCTGTACTTCCTCCTTGATTCTCTTCTGGGCTTGGGCACAATCCAGTTTTCATATTTTAGGCACAAAGCTATTGTTGTTGCCTCAGTCCTGGACACGGGAAATGGGATGTGTTCAGTGGAGGTACTTCTGCCTTTCTAGTCTAGACAAAGAAGCAGAGCTGAGCCTACCCTGTGCTCTCCCTTTTAGAAAGATGTTGCAGCAGAAGTTTTCCACAGCCCAGTGTCTCTGAAAATTATTCCTGCTGTACTGTCCTTCCATGTTACTCTCTTTTATTTATGGCTTTTACAGTCTCTGTCTGCCCAACAGCAAAAGTTGCCTGTTAGATTAGTAGTTACAAAACAATGGCCAGTGAAATGATTTATGCTGTAGATWAGTATTTAGAGATAAGGCAAAGTATCTCTATCAATTTTTAACAAAACGTTCATACACACATGTACATGYATGTTTGTTTGTTTATATTTCTTTATTCCAGTTGACAAATTATATTTTCAGATATCAGTACCATCAGCAGTTACACTGTCATTTGAATACTAAGTATAGGAAATAGATGATATCTTGGTGATGCATAGTAAGTTAAGGAATGTTATTTTGTTGGGTTTTTCCTTTTGGAAGAAAGAGAATGGAGGGATGGGAAAAAAGAGGGGGCTGGACAGAACTAGCAAACAGCATGTAGGAAAATGTGACATTTCCTCTTTCCACTTATTTTAACTTATAAAAGATACTTGTGAAATTTTCAGAACACAGCCCATTGTAACCATTTTGTTCAAACACTTCATTTTATTCTTATGTTGGTTTCAGTTTGTCTGTCTTCTTCCCTAAGCCACTTCTTTTTCTTTTATCTTCATCTTAACCTCTCTTTCCCATTTCTATGTATTTGTCTTTGTGTCTTTGAACTAGCTTGATTTTTGGTTTTTTAATGCCGTTTTCCAAGAATCCCAAATCTTTGCCACCCCTGCATTTTGGCTTCCTTGACCTTATTAGCAAATCTAATTTGCTAATAAATCCTCTGGCTGCAATCACAGGCGGTGGGAAAATGGTTCTATATTCCCCCATCTAGTGCTGACACCAGCAAAAGTTAGGCACTTTGCAATGCATTTAAATAAGGTACTGTCTCTTCTGCAATTGTGGAGGTGTGCAGGGAAGTTACAAGGGAGCTATTCTCAAATCTAAAACAGAGACCTGGAATCCAAACCACTGCCTCTCCTTTGAGAGGGATGTGGAGTATATGGTGCTACTGGGATGTGCATGGGGTGGTTTTTTCTCTCTAATGCAAGCACCCTGAACAGCGACTTCAGACTGTGGTGTTACATACCTTGCTGTGGACAGTTTAATTTATCCTCTTCATCTCTCTTTTGGAAATGCACAGAATGGGATGGAGAGTGACATATCTTGCTGATCACCTGCATTGTTTCTTTCTTGAAAAAGTAAAGAAATAACACTAAGGAGAAGGAATAACCTGTGAACTGAGCTCGTATAGCTGGCCTAAACACATCTAAAAGTCAGTAAATGTCATGTTCCACTTGTGTGGGTATTCATGATTAGGTGTTCTCTATTTCAGAATTAAATATGTTCTGTGAAGCCAGGGTTTGTATTTATACTGCTTATCAGACAGACTGAAAAGAAGGGTTTCTCATTCCTTCAGAAGTCCCTGGTTTCTCCCCAGCATTATTCCTTCAGGCCAAAATGCATTATTCCTTGGAAGTTGACAGGATGCACAGGCATATTTCTTTTCATCCTAAACTCATTCACTTCAATTGAAGCAGCTTTTCCCAAAGGAACAATCTGTTTATGCAATGAAAGTGTAATGGAATGAAGAGGCCAGGAAAACTGAGGAAATGATTAGAAAGAGACAAGGAAAAATTACTCATAGACTGGCAAGTATTTGTTTTCTTATCTTTCCTGTCTACTTTTCCCTCAACATGAAAGGCTAAAGAATCTAAAAATTGTAGGCTGTAAAAAACCTGTTTTACAGTGATAGTCACAAGGGAGCCTGCCTGAACTCTTAAGCTCATTGAGGTTTAGTCTGAAATCGTGCTGAAGACTTGTCCTAAAAAAAATTTCTTAGCCAAGCACAAAACCAGGCTACTCCTGGAAAAAAGTTCAAAAATAATTTTAAGGAAGAAAAAGCAAAAACTTGGCTCCACAGAAGGCAGAAATACTAGATTCTTAGAACTCCCCACCTGGTAAAAAGTGTGAGGTGAAAATAGAATCCTTTAGAAATGAGACAATGTGAGACCAAATTCAGCATTATCACAAGTGGTTGCATCGCAAATGCCTCCTGATGTTGGTATCTAATTTGGACCAGTTTCTCTAATCAGATCTTATTTCAAAATAATTGCACATGATTTGTTGATTGTTGTTACTGTTACTGAAAACAGGCAAAGGCAAAAATTGCTTGTTCTGCCATTAAAGAAGCTTGAAATAGAAGTTGTCTAGGTCAGCTGCTAGAGCTTGCAACTCAACTGAAATCGAGTAAAAACTTCAAATCCCAGAATGTCTTTCCCCTGCCTTATTATTGCAACAGATTGCATGATTTGGATGTATGTCATTTTTAAGATCTGATGCTACTTTGAGCAACAAAGTCTCAATGACATAGAAGTCAATTCATAGACAAAAGATACTGCACATGCTGCTGTGCTGTCTGTCCAGGTGCAATTCTTAGATGAGTACAGCTATCAGTACATTCTTCAGCCTTATTAAGAAAGTAATTTTTTTTTTTAATCTAGTCCAAAACTGGGTTGGTTTGTTTCTTTGTTTGCTTTTCTGGAAAAGAGATATTTGGAAGATCTTTTTTTTTTCTTGTCAATTAACACTGCTAATTCAAATAAGTATTTCTTTTCCTGCAAGACATTCAGTTCAAGTCCAAAGTCAGTATACATCTTTCTCAAGCCTTCCTTACCACAAGCTAATGGATGTCGGCTTTGCAAACTCAAACTGGTAATGGATATTTAAAACATGCTTCAGCCCATAAAAATTGGCCCCAAAAAGTTGGTATGTACCTGTCACTGTGAGTTTCCCTGTGGCTAAAGGTGCAATTACTGTAAGCCACCAATAAGGCTGGATGTGTACCCTTTGGAACCATAGTCATCTGGAGCTGAGCTGAGATACAGTAAAGCTCAAGGCACAGTGGAACCATTGTTAAGCTAGAAATTCTTAATAATCAATAGTCAGTTATCTGACTGTCATTTGACCGACCCATGGATTGACAGTGAGGTACTATTGGCTCAGGTGGGCAGCTTTTCTAAAAGTAGGAACATAGCTGTGTGTGGATTTCCATATGCAGAATAGTTTCTACTGTCCCTCAAGTCCAGTGGGTATTTAAAAATGCACAGCATATGCTGTTCTCTCTGATGCAAGTTTATGTTCTGTCTGCTGACATGTTAAGGCAAATAGAATACCTTCATAAAATGCACTTGGATTTAATAAAGCCTTTCATGCAGTGATTATTGTGTTATGCTGGGACTCTACTGTGCCAGTAAATGACTGCAAATTGTGTTGCCATCAAAGTGTCAATGTCTTAAGAAGTAATTATGTAACTGTCACCTCTTTTCAGTATGTAAAAACGATTTCTTAAAAAAGCAAGAATATTTGTGATCTAAAAATGAGTCCTTTGCTGCCTTCCTGGCCTGCTAACAGTATAAAACCGTAATTCTAGGAATTAAAAACTAAACCAAGGTGCTGCTGCTAGGGAGTGTGTCCTTGTTAGATGCTGCATTTACTGGTTGCATAAAGAATTGTGAAAGTTATCCAAATACTCTAAACACTTGGTATTTTCAGCTGCCAAAACCACTGACTGTGTAGTGTCTATCAACTAATCTAAAATACTTCCCTTGCTGTAAGAAACTGAAAATTGTGAAAGCTATGATTATTCCACCTGAGTCCTTGCTGCTAGGGAATAAAAGAAATATCACTTAAGCCAGTAATTAGTGTCTTTTCAACTTCCAAGGAATATTTTATTTTATGCTGAAAGAGAAAGGAAGATAAGTTACAGTCATGATATTGGAGAGCAATATGGAGCTGAGCATCAATAGCTCAGGGATATTTTGTATCCAGCRTATTTTCTTTCAGTGAAGAATGGTTTTTCATGTAATGTGAAACCCTTTCCTCACCTCTTTTTTTGGCTTGCCCTGGTTTTGGAAGCTGTACAGAGGACACAGTGCTTTCTGGCAAAAAAGACCATGGAATTCACTTACTTGCTGCTTCTGCCTTCCTCTTTCCCCCTTCTTTAAAGTAAATTCCATGGCAAATTAGAAGCTCTATGTGGATTCCAGCATTTTTTAAAGTCTAAGTGGAACTTGGTGACATGTTTAAACTTCAGAGTAGCTTAACAGAGACAACAAGATTTGGAAAACAGAATCCAGCACACCTGTGAATTTACTGGGACACAGTGATCTGTCTGCTCTTGTCCTCTTCTTATCTTGAATTTAGCTTTATAAAGCTTCATTTATGTGAACTGCATGGAAGCCAAGATATAAAGGGTTTTTTTGAAGAGTACTAAAAAGAAGAAAAAACTATCCAAACAATGTTAAAGGAAAAAAAGTAACCATCACAGAGCTTAAAGCTTAGTTTGTCATGGTTCTATAGAAAAGCAGTGCAGGGCTTGTGGCAATAGTTTTCATACATATTTTTAATAGTAAGGTAAATGGAAAGAAAACAGACTGAAATACTTTGTTAGGTTCATCAAAGTTAACACTATTTCACATTTCTGTGTTTTCTGCCTTTGTATTGATGGTAAGGTAAATAATTGTAACAATAATTCCATATGCTTATTAACAGTGTGTGCATATGCACTGACATCAGGCTGTAACTGGGCAGATGTGGTTCTGTTTGTAACATAGGGCATTTACATGATGACTGTATTCATGTGAAATGTAATGAGATTGTAATATTTATAAAATAAGAAAAAGCTGCATTAGACGAACACCAAGTGCAAATGTTAGTCCCTGGCAAAGAAAAGAGGAACACTTCTGTTTTGAAGAGAGCACTTAGTCCCCTAATCTTTGAAATGCTAATGTAAGCCAATTAGAATTTTTATTACTATTGCAACAGGACTTGCACTGATATTTTAATAGCTTCAGAATTACGAACCAGTGAATCATTACTGGTGAGAGGAAGGGATACAAAGCTGTCTCAACTTGTGGCATGGCCATGTAGTCAGACAAAACTGGCATTTTCCATGCTTTTTTTATCTTTGTGATAGTCATAATTTGAAAGTTATATGCAAAACATTTCCATTGTAATGTGCCAAGTAATAAGTCCAGCAGTCACAAAACTTATCCTGCCAATTTTGTTAGATCTATTAGTCCAAAAAAAAGTAATTTTAAACAAGAAAATACTTAGAAACAGCAAAGTTCAGTTTTGTTCATCACTTGAAAATCCTTCCTAATTTTTTAGTATTTTGCTATATGAGCTTTTTATAATAAGAAAGAAAGCAAATCAAAATAGAAGTATTGCTTCAAGAGTTCTCCACAATTTCATTGTAAGTTCTTGAGCTACTGGGTGGATAAATTTAAGTTAATAAATCTGAAGATCTAACTGAGGATATTTAGGCTGGAATGTAGCATCAGAATTAAAGCTTGATTTTATTAAGTATGCTGTGCATGTTGAATGTGATGTTCCAACCAATTATCAGGTTGAGGCAAGCATTGCTAATACTGCTGACAAGTTATGCTATTACAGATGGGCTGTGCTTCCTATTGCATGCGTTACACTGACACTATACTTTCTTTCCTTTTCTTTTCTCCTGTGCCATGCTTGCTGTATAGCAAATGGAATCTCTTGCAGTAAGTTGAAGCTCTTTCATATTTTTTGTCCATCTGTAGATGGGCTAATACACCCCAATATTACTGTTTTACTTCTAAGCATGTTTTCCTTTTTTGTTATAATTTTCCTATAAAACACGTGGTTCTAAATGTGGTGACTAATTTACTGACATGTGTTTTGTGAAATCAAAAAATACTGTGCCAAAATTGTGACACTTTCATATTCTGTTTCAAATGGTTATTTACATACACTTTTACAAATCAAGCTTTTAAATGGATGTTATGTGCCGGGGCGGGAAACATTTTTTGTTATTTTAAAATTATGATAATAATTTTCCATTTGTCCTCGTGAAAAACTGTAATTTATAGTTGGCTGTTATGTTTCAAATGGGTTTTGTGTATATGTTGGTGAACAGTTTCACCACCACTGGTTTCTAATACTTATTTCAGGAAGAACAAAAATGGATTTGTTTGAAACAGTAACCAAATATGAAGTGAGTCAAACTAGAATCATCAATCTGACCTTAGTTTGTTTTCATTCAAGTTAGCAGCCAAAAGGGTGAAAATGAATTATTGTTCTCCAAGGACTAAAAAATATCCAGTGTTACTTGCTAAGCCATCATGAATGTTATGCTGTTATACGGCTCCAAGTATGTGTGTATGTAACTGCTATGTAGTGTTGACAGATCTCCAAAATTTGAATAGAGTAAATTTGATCCCTGCTGGGGAAACCTCAGGCTATGTCCCAACTTGTAAGCTGAACAGGACCAGGGAGGAAGTGAGTGTCCCTGGGCCAGCACTCACTCTGTGAGCAGTCAGCACCTTCCGTGGCTGGGCCACCAGCCAGCCCCTGACATGCCTGAGCACAGTGCCAAAGAGGACAGAAGGCAGAGCAATTTCCAGGAGGTTGTGTCTGAACAGTCAGCCTTTAGTTTGGGAGGAGGGTGGTTAGACACACAAAAGCAAACTTGGCAGTGCTCTGTGCCCTTGGTTACAGAGAACGGCCTCAGGGCAGGTTTATTTCACTGGGAGGGTTCCTCATGCCCTACCTCTTTGTCCTCATAGGCTTTTTCCCTATCCAAAAGTCAGCTCTGTCCTAGCATATCGGTTCCCCTTCACAGATCTGCTGGGCCCTCTTTCAGCTTTTGTGGGTCTTTGCTGGCCTATCTGATCTGGTGGGACCATGGAATGGTTTGAGTTGGAAGGCACCTTAAAGATCATATAGTTCCAATCCCCTTGCCATGGGCAGGGACACCTTCCACTAGACCAGGTTATTGAAAACCTCATCCATCCTGGTCTTAAGCACTTGTAGGGGTGGGGCATACACAACTTCTGAGTACCCTGTTCCGGTACCTCACTACCCTATGAGTAGAGAATTTCTTCCTACCATCTACTCTAAATCTCTCCTCTTTGAGTTTAATGCTATTTCCCCTTGTCCTACCACAATCTGCCTGTGTAAAAAGTTGTTTTCCATGTTTTTTATATGCCCCTTTAAGTACTGGAAGGTAGTTATGAGGTCTTCCTGGAGCCTTCTCTTCTCCAGGCTAACAACCCTCTCAGCCTGTCTTCACAGGAGAGGTGCTCCTGATACAGCCCAGGCTGTGGTTTGCCTTCTGGGCTGTCATCACACACTGCTGGCTCATGTCCAGCTTTTCATCCATGAGAACCCCTAAGGCCTTCTCTGCAGGGCTTCTCTCAGTGAGTTCTATGCTCATGTATGAGATTGTGCCAATGCAGGTGCCGCCCCTTGCACTTGGACTTGTTGGACCTCATGAGGTTCTCATGGGCCCACTTCTCAAGYTTGTCCGTGTTCCCCTGGATGGCATCCTGTCCTTCATGTCATCTGTAAACTTGCTGAAAGACTCCTCCTTGCTGAAATTCCTCCTTTCCATTTGGGGCAGGAGTGATCCAATGCTGCCCAGCAGTAACAGGCATTAAACATAATGATTCAGATACCAGATCCAGAATGGCACAGAGCTCAGAAAATGTACAGCTCAGAAAATGTGGCAGTGCTGAGGTGTGAACAGCCCTGTCTGCCTGGCCTTCAGCAGGACAAAACCTGCTAGGCTGACACCTGGTGGCTTGGCACCATCTTCCTGCTMCCACTTTCCTACATAAACCTCTTTTAGAAAGAGACTAGCTCTGCCTCACTTTGGCAATGACCTGGCCTGTCTGTTCATAGATGGGTAGTTGGTGTCCACCTCACTCTGATGAACAAAGATGAAATTTGCTTTTGACCTTGGCCCTCAGCCTTTTGAGGCTGGTGCAGAAATTTGGGAAACTGGAATGCTATAAGGCTGTGGTTCTAATTTTGGTTTGTTAATAAAAAATGTGGCACTTAAATATTGAACCATATGTAAATAAAACACTTCAGTCAAATTAACATTTATAATGCACTTAAAGTACTTTTTATTAAAATTTGTGCTGACATTTGGACAGTCCCAAATTCAGCAAAGAGCTGCAGTATGTACTGGTAACTAAGTGCATATGAAGTGCTTTAAAGAAGCAAAGACATGAATAGCGTCTTCTTTTCTCCCAATTTCAGTATGAAACTCTTGCTTTAGTTCCTCCAAACAGATGGAAATATCACAGAGCCCACCCTTGGTCGCAGTGTCTGTCACAGTAGGCAAATCAAATACAGTGGGAAGTCTGTAAGGCTTTCCTGCCAAAGGGCCACAACAAGGTCAGAACTTGTACTTGCAGGATTTTCACTTTTTATATAATTGGCGAAAGATTAAATGTGCTTCACTCCTTCATCATGATCCATCTGAGAAACAGCAAGATTCCCCTCCTGCTAGACACAACAATACCAAGATCACAAGCATATTAACTTGACCTCTCTGGCAGCCATGCCCTTCGCCCATTATTTCAGTGTATCTGAATCTTTTATGTCATGCACTTTACACTGGAAGAAACAAGAGACTATTCATAGAGCAGTATCTACTAAATTTGGGGCAATACTTCATAGGAGTATCCTCTTACTCATTAAGCTCCATCCATCTGTTGTATAATTTCTTTAAGATGGTGGAAAATCCATGAGCAGAGTTTTAAGTTCCGGAGCTGGCACTTCCTCCTCCTTGTTCCTAGACAGATTTATCACCTCTCTTCCACTCTCTCAGAGAAGCAGGCAGGAGCCTTGACCATCTTGGACTACTATTTCATGGCTTCTCTCTTAAATCTCCATCCCTTAGAAGAGGTCTTCAACCATGTCTGAAATTTGGGAGTTCCATGTTTTATGCAAGAGTAACTTCCCCCATATTCTGTCTCTGCTTTCCAGCTGCACATGGAGACAGTGGATCTAACCAAAACAGAATGCTTTGAGACTGATGCTGACATGTGCTATGTGAGAGYTTGCTATCATAATTGTATTTTCAGTGTCATGTATGTCTTACCTGCAGAAGAAAAATCATTATTTATTTTCCAAAATGGTACATGATCATACTTCAGTAAAATGTTTTTGAGGACAGAGCTATCTCAGTGTTTTGTTAGTTATCAATAATTATCTAAACTTATTAATATTTATTAATTATTTCTTCTCCTACTATTATTTCCTTTAGCAATTGGAACTCTGTCAGAGATTATATAAACTGCACTTCCAGCTGCTATTGCTTTTTCAATCCTACTGTAAACTTATTGGACAAGTGCATGAAGTGAGTTCCATGCCAGAGGTATGTAACAAACTACAAAGTCTTATACTGAAAATTCCACTTTATTTTCATGTTCTTAGTTTTTATTTCTATGGACTTAACACCAAAGATTACACTATTTCCCCCTGACTCTAAGTCTGCAGGCATACATAAATACTTTAATGTCATATATTTTTGATTCTGTAATGTTTACAAGCCTTTTTCTTTAAATATTTTTGACATGACACACTCTCACTTTTGACCCAAATAGCCTTTTGTTTTCAGGTAAGTCCATGTATCTTACTTAAAAAAAACTTCACAAGAACAATACTCTTAGTCAAGTTTATTTGCAACACTTGCTTAAAATATGTAATACTTTGAAATGTCTTTGAGGTGATCATTTTAAGCTGAATGATCATCATTTAAGGAAAGATTTAACATGCCATTTCATATGTATTTTTCTCCTGGTGTATATATTTAAAACTATTGAGGAGAAAAAGTTACTGTACTCTGCTTTTTAAAATAAAATTTGAGGCTATTTCAGGTATTTTAYGATGGATTCTAGTAGTTTGGAGGTGGTCTATAAATGGAAATGGTTATCAGATGTGCTGTAGGAGTAAAAAGAGTTTGAATATTTATTGTATCTTAAGGAACTGTTCTGAAGGCTGTCTCAGAATGTGACTGGGCTGTTCACTTTTAAGAGAAGACAGGACAATAGACATCTACTACTACAGCAGTCTTAGAAATATTTTTTTATTCCTTATAATTGCTTTCTGTAAGTGTATTCCATAGTTACAACTTGGTTAGATTGTTATAAATAATGCAGCTTGTGGAACTAGGGAACAATTGTACAAAGAATAGCTATTTCACCAAGAAATTTGCATATTTTGCTGGAGCCTTAAGCTCTTAGTTAAAGGAAATTCCATTTTTCATTCATGTGACTGATTATTTTTAGCGTGTAGAAGCATGAAAAAGTAGATCCTTGGAAATTATTAGCTTACTGATTTTTGTGCCATGTTAACTTTTCAGCCTGATAGAGGGTTATACAAATCCTGTCCATCTGTTAATCATGTCAGATACTGCATGTACTTTGTAAATAAATACCAGCATCTTGCTAGGATAAGTACATGTGTTCTTCAGCTTTTCCACTATAGTGTGAAAAAAGTAGCAAGAGTGAAAAATAAAAGCTTGTTTAGATACACTCCTGCGTTTTAGCAAGCCAAAACCATAGCATAAGGTTCAAGGATGCACAAAGGTAAAAAAAATCTGTAGTTTGTTTTTTCTCTATATTGTACAGAGATCAAGAAATGTCCTTGTGCTAAACTGGGGTCTTTTCCATAATGTTTGCATCCAATGTAATAGTAAGAACAAACTTAAGTACCTACTGCTTGTGGAGCTTATGGGGAATGAAAATACCCATCTCTCATCTTTCTCCTTGSAACAGCTGTTAAATATGTCAAGAGAACTGAGTGAGCTGAAGAAAAATTTGAAGGATGCTACTGCTGCAATCGCAGCTGACCCTCTGACAACAGAATCTGAGCCCACATTCAACTCTACTGAAGCAGCTATTCAGTCCATACTGGAATGTTTGAAAAACAATGAACTTGTTAAAGCTGTCAGACAAATAAGAGAATGCAGGCAAGTTTTGCTACATGGTTCATATTAGACTTCCATGTTATTGGAAAAGTAGGCATTTATTATCTTGCTAACTAAATGTAATGCACAGCAACAGCATAATTAATTAATTAATTGTTTCAACAGGGTACATGGGGGCATTGATACCGACTTTTGGAGAGGTGTGCCACTAATAACTATCAAACATATGCTTGCAACAATTAAGATGTTTAATTCTGTTCCATAGATCAAAAGTCCTGTGAGGCTCTTAAGAATATTTTATTGAGTTAGTTCCTTACAGGTGCATATCATCGACATGAGCTAACATTCAGCCCAGCTTCACTTACACCTATTTGAATGAGTTTTCTGAAGCTTTTTTTTTTTTAGACAATGGAAATTGCACTTTTATGTGATTTCAGTGCCTGATACCAGAGTATGACTGACAAATGGTTAGTGTAAAACAGTGAGTTGCTTTAGGCTTATCAGCATGTGTGAGTCCATTCTCCTTTTAGAGGTCTCTGTCACATAGCTTCCACCTCTGCTAATAAACTCAAATATTGGATATGCCTGTTCTTTTCCTCTTTGATTGCAGGATTCTGTGGCCCAATGATATCTTTGGAAGTAGCTCTGACGATGAAGTCCAGACACTATTGAACATTTACTTCCGCCATCAAACCCTGGGTCAGACGGGCACCTATGCACTAGTGGGCTCCAACCAGAGCCTGACTGAAATCTGCACCAAATTAATGGAATTGAACATAGAGATCCGCGACATGATTCGCAGAGCTCAGAGCTACCGGGTCAATACTTTTCTTCCAGACTCCAGCATTTCTGGCACAAGTCTCTGACAGGACCCTCAGGTCCTCTTTCAAGCTGGGAATGCTGCCCTGTGGGAATGAGGTGGCTCGATGTCTTCTGAGCCTTACAAAGGTTTGGTCAAACTGTACTCACTCTTGTTATGTTTAGTATCTCCTCTAAAAAGCAATGGGCTGAACTTCAAACGTGTAGCAATACTGTAAGGACAGACTTAGCATAGAGCACCTGGGACAACATCCTTGGTTCTGTGTTGCACAAAAACCAGTTAGCATTTCACTGGGCAACTGCAACTCACTACTGAAGAAGTGACTTCCATTGCATACCAAAGCCTACTACACTGAACAATACTTCCTTTATAGCAAATTAATTTTAGGTTGGCAAAAGTGCAATGTTTCCTTCGCAAAATAGTATTTTTTGTTAAAAAAATAAACCTTGTACATTGTTTTCTTTTTTTTTTTTTAATTTAGTTGAGTGAAAGATGGGCAGAATGAAGCTGGCCACGGAATCTCACAAACTTGTTGGTCAAAAGCTGAGAGCCTTTGTATATGAAACAAACTGTAAACAGACTATAATTTAATGTACACTGTAATTTGAATATGATTACTGTATCTTAAAACAACAAGCTGCTATAAAGTGCATTTCCTAATGTTACTAGGCTACTGTCTCTGAAGGTACTGGATCATACTGCAGAGGTCTGTTCTTAGGCCACCTCCCAAGGATCAAGAATTGTAGTGGTAGATTTTTTTTTTAATTATTATTATTAAGGACCTTGGGTGCTTTCTACTAGAGGTTTGCTTTTATGAATATATTTATACTATTAAAGGATGGTTGATCTAATTTAACTTGCCATTTTGTAGGAGAAAGTTCCATCACAGAGTCAAATCTTTTGAACTGTTAAGCATGCATATTTTTATTTAATATAAATTTTGAGTATAAAAAGGAAAAATATTAACATGAAATGCAAGTTCTCATGTTAAGTTTCTTCAAACAGAGGTCTTATTTTATTTGTAATGCATATATAAAAGTCATAATTATATGGGTTTTTCTCACATTTAACTGCTGTCCAGTGTTAAATGTATGCATGTAAATCTGTTGCCCATCTGAGACACTTTTATTCTGACAACTATGTAACGTATTCACGCTGTAAATACACTTAACCATTTTTGTGAAGTAACTTTGAAATTTTGATTAGTGCATCCATTTAACTAAAGTATAAAAGTCATATATAGTCACAACATAGTAATGCTTGTTGTGAAAATTGTGTTCTTGTCTGAATTGATAGTGTTGCACATGGTGTCCAGGATCAGCAGCCCCTCAAAAGACACTTCCTCCTGTTTTGTGCTAAAACCATGCATAGAAAACTGTGAGAAATGTAACTAGAGCCTGACAAAAAAAAAAAATCCTTACAATGCAGCTTGGAAGAGTACAACAGCAAAAGTAGTTTCATTGGTCTTCCAGTGACTGTGAAAACCTCTCAACTTCCTTCTATCCTAAAGAGTATTTTTTACACTCATCACAGATACTCCCATTCAAAAGGTTTTTCCCCTCCTCACGTCAAACTTTTTGCTCCTTTTTCACAGCCATAGTCTTATGGCAGATAGTCTTCAATTACCCAGCAGCTGTCATTTTTTACATATCTATTCCACAGAGGCAGGGGGAAGACACATTTGCATTTACACCAGACTGTATGCTCCAGAATATTTGCATTTTCCACTCTAGTTCAGTTTGAGTGACTGAAGGAAAAATTTGCTATTGTAGCTTGAATCTTAGCATTCCCTAAAGACTTCAAAACAAACCCAGCGATCTTTAGGAATGATGGCTTGTTATGTTAAGATATACTCTCCTCTTTCATTGAAGGAAGAYGAAGCTAAGGGGTCTCAAACTAGTTAGCTAGCAAACCTTTATTGAACTTTATTTACAGAATGTATACAGTGAAGTTACATTCTTTACAATAATACCAAGTCTTCATCCTTTATCCAATGCCAGGTCAAAAGCCTTAAGTCAAAACATTACAACAGACAAAGTGCAAAGCACAAAACAGAAGAGGGCACATGGATCAGACAATGTATTTGAAACTGTAAGTGCTATCACAGGACAGCCTTTTCCCTTTGCAGCGGCCACAGAGTTCTTGGCGATGAGGTCTCTTGAGATCAATATGTCTCTTCTTCTGAGGGCAAGAACAACGAGTCTTGGAACACATCTTACGAAAGAAGACATGTTATTAGTAGTGTATCTGACAGGATTCACTCTTTAGACTGACATTTGCTTTTTCTTAATCACAGCAACACATTGGGGCTGGTACAGCTTAAATCCACAGAATTTTTAGCAGTAGAGCTCTTAAGAGTAAGAGCCTTCTCACCTAGAAGCACAAAACCCTACTTTACATGTAGCAAGCCATAATGCTGTATGAAAATTGTTTATGTAAGCCATCCACAGGAGGAGAGAAGCACTATGACACATTTRTTTTCTAGTATTTTGATGAAAGCAAGTTTCCTTGCAGATAAAGTCAATATTAAATTCAATAACTGTATTAGTGTATTTGTTAACTCGGGATTAACGGGGTACAGTTGACTTACCTGGCACTGGATTGCTTCCACTCGATAGGGATTGAAGCCCTTTTGGCATTTGCGACAGAGCTGCTTGAAGTACACCTGAAAAAAAAGGCAAAATCTCTCTTACTCTAGAGATTTATTAGAGGTGTTCTGTACAGGTATCTAGATTTGTGCCAAAACACCCAACATATCACAGATCTGGTGCCATTTTTACAAGTCCCAGGAGAAAAGAAATTACCTTGTTGCTTCCAGAAATGCACCACACGTAAGCACTCTCCCATCTGGTCTTGCAGTCTTTGCAGTGGAAATAGCCATACTTCTGCTCCAAGAACTGCAAAGAGAATTCACTGAGYATCCTCCAGCACCCCAGGGACACCCAGCCCAGATCCCTCACTGCTATTCCCCAAGAATGATGAGACACTGAAAAAGGTTGCCCAGGAAAGTCACAGACTTTCATTACTGGAAATGTTTGAAGTAGTATTGAACGGGTCTCTGAGAAACATGGTCTAGTGGGTGGGGGTGACATCCCTGCCCATAGAAGGGGGGTTGAAACTAGATGATCTTCAAGGTCCCTTCCAATCCAAACCACTTCTGCGATGCTTTGATCCACACGGCTGGGTATTCACAGGCTAGAGGGTCCTCTGCTCTAGGTGAAATGGTCATCTCGGGGCAGGACAGAGACCACCRTACTGCTAATGAGGTGATTTCCACCGAATGAGGGTTCGCCCCCCACCCCATCCCGGCGCACCTGGAAGGCAGGTTTCTGCCTGGGAGCCGCTGTCTCCTCCCGCCGCGTCCCCACCGGCTCCTGGCGCGGCGACAGCGCTTCCCCCGCCGCGCCCTGCTGGTGCTCCTCGCCGCCGTCCGCCGTCGAGGTCTTCTCGGCCGGCGCTTCCGACGGCGCTGCCTTGTCCGGGGTCGGTGCGGCCTCGGGCAGCGCGAAGAGGCGGCGGTCGGGCACGGATGAGTGGAGGGCGAGGCGTCCCGGGGCGCGCAGGGCGGCGGGGCCGAAGGGGCGGCCGAGCGGCAGCGTGCGCGGCCCCAGCGAGCACTGCACGGCAGCGTCGGCCCGCAAGCTCACCTGCACCGCCGCTTCCTTCGTGCTGGCCCGGCGGGGCCGTGACGCCAGCGCGGGGCCCACCTGCGACAGCAGCGCCTGCAATTGCGCCCGCCGGTAGCTGTCCAGGTACTCGGAGGGCAGCGGCGTGAACGGCCCCCCGAGGAAAGGGCTGATGCCGACGCTCTTGCTCTGCTTCCAGCTGGACTGCTTGGCTGCAGGGTCCCAGCCGCGGCCGACCGCGGGGCTGCCCCTGAAGCTCTGGTACGCGCTAAAGGGGGAACATACGAAACCGTCCATGATCATCGCCGCTGACCCGTCAGCCCTACTTGTGACCCTGCTTTGCTTTTATCTTATCTGGGGAGCTAATACTTGCTAATTGATGGGGAAAGTGGGGCCAGCTGGGGAAGGGATGGCTGAAGGCACTGGCCTGCCTTCCTTCTCTACAAGATTCTCTAATGACGAAGAGATGTCATTCAGCCACAGCTGGGAGAACCATGGCCTGAGTAGCGAGAAGCCTGCTTGCTCACAATCCCTTCTGCTCATGGTCTTAAAAGAAGGAATAGGGGGTTTGGGATACAAACAAGGTCCAGATAACTTGGGTGTCCCCCGGAGAGCTGAGCAAAGAATTCAAGCAATTACATCTCTGAAAAGAAGTTTTTACCGGTAGTAAAACAAAGCATCCTCATTTTTCCATTACTTGAGGATTAGCTACCTGGAGCTTTTCTATCACCTGAACTGCTTTAGGAAAAGATGGAATATACTTGTGTATACAAACTGAGGTAAGGGAAAGCAGTGGCTTCCTACCTGTTCAATGAAATATGTGTTAGTAATGCAAGCACGTGCATATTAGACTAATAGTCCTTCTTCCATAATTACCTCACTTTAGTTCAATTTTAAGATAATATAGTTAAAATAATGTAATTAAATCATCCAAACTGTGTATGTAAGCCTTTACAGACTGGAGAATCCTTAAATGCCTGGAACTGCTGTGATGTGAAATACTTTCTTTGTATTACTACTCACCATCTTTATAAATGCGTTGCTTTATGAAATTCCATGGGCCAGCAAGAGAGGGGCTAGAGAAGACCTGATAGGGATGATGTCTTTAAACATTCACAGTGTATATGACACTTTCAAGTGACACTTTATCTTACTTGAGATAAATCAGTAAGAAACAGCATTTTTTCAGGGCAAAAAGAGGTTAAGTTTCAGGAAACACATTCATCATAAGTAAAAGACAAGGCTCCATGTTGTGTTTGGGTTTTCAAAGCACTGTCAGTATCAGCTCAAAGAAAAAATAGGGTCTAGAGAGGGCCAAGTCAAAACTKAATCACTGCAGTGTGGCTGCAAAAAGAGTAAGTTCTTAGGGTGCAATGGGGATGGGGATGAAAGTTAAATGGGAAATGCAATCATTTAAAGCAACGTTTGATTTCCTTTAAAATGCTTTGGGAAGAAACAGTTACTGCAGTTCCCCAGAACACTACAGGGTTAGAAATTAAAGTTTTTTTGAAGGACAAGAATATGTACGACAAGAATTGAAGAAAGTGACAGATTACTAAGCAGGTGATGTGATAATATGCTGCAAAATAAGAACTAGTGTGGAGAGGTAGGAAGAAACCCCTTTATGGCACAAGAACAGATGAATATCCCACTAAAATGAAGATGGTAAACTCAAAGTTGGTGGTGGGACGTGTTCCGCTCATCATGAAGTTGTTCCATCGACAAAGCCAAGAATTTAATCAATTTAATCAAGACGAAGTGGAAATGGACATGTATTTGGAGGATAGTTACATTCTCTTTATTGGAACATCAGCAACTATTTCTTGTGTCAAGGCCTGAAAAACCACCTAAGAAGCGGAGGCTGAGGCTTTGCACAGTCCGTGACATTTCACCRCGGCCCTGCCGCTGTGAGCCCTCAGAGCCTTTCCCTGGGAGGTCGGTGTTAGCTGCTGTTGCCCAGCAACGCGGTTCATGTCAGCCTTGGATGTGGTACTTCTTTCCCTCGTCTCTAGGACGCGTGGGTGAAGCTGCTGGCGGCCATCGTGGCTCAGGACACGCTCCCTTTCTGTACTGCGCTGAGTCAGCCACGGTGGGACAGCCCTTACGGCGGGCACCACCCGTGACCAGGCCGCAATGCCTGGCCCCGTGCTGGGCAGGCCGGCGCGGCTGAGGCGGGGCCGCGTCGCCGCCTCCTTGCCGGGGGTGGCTGCGGGGGAGGGCGGGAGCGGCGGATGCTCCCGCTGCGCAGGCGCGGGGGTGTGTTGGCGCCAAGCTTCGAACGGGGCGGTTGGGCTGGGGGGGCCGCGGAGCCCCATCCTTCCCCGCCGCTTTCCCTGCCATCCCCGCCCGCCCCCATCCCCTGCGTGAGGTGATGCTGCGGTCGCCGCCCCGCCCGAGGCGCCGCCGGCAGGTAACGGTGCAGCTTGTGGCTCGGCCCTGCCCCGGGGCTGCTGTGTGCCCTGGGGGGGTGTCACTGCCGCCCCTCGGGGTCCCTCCCTCTCCTCACGGCCCGCCGGGGGTCTGCAGTCACCGGGTGTGGGGAAGAGGGGCTTTGGGTCCGTACCCGGCGGCCCGGCGGTGACGCGGGGGCCCTGCACAGGCCGCGCTCCGTGCGTGGTCATTGCCCAGGAGGTGCTTTCCCTCAGGGAAAGCAGKGCGGACAGGTCAAATCGCCCTTTTAAAACTGTACTTCTGAGGTAAAGCTAAGTTTCTCGATGTTTTGTCTTAATGCAGCCCTTTCCCTATTTTAAAGTGTTTTGGTAAGGCAACACGTGTAACACGGCTATCGTGTGGGAAACAGCTCTTACTGTGGAAATCATAAACGTGTTAAATGGTGAAGCGTCACTGTGGACTTACTTATACATGCTTTTTAATAGAATTGTGAAACTGGCAGTGTCTGCTCCACTTGATAGTAACTTTGAATCTTGACATGTAAATTGTAATGGTTGTATGTATGTGAGGGCACATACTCCATCCTAATGTTAGAGTGAGTGTGGGGTTTTGATTTGTGTTTAAAATACCTCAAAAGTGTTCTGATCATTCCATCTTGGTTTTCTCTTGTGTTTGCTGAGTATTTTCTTTATCTCTGGTATAATTCCCTTTGCTCTTGTCTGTTGTTTTCCCACTATGTTCATCATTGTGGTGTTTGAATGCTCACCTCACAGTCAAAGCTAAACAAATTTGGCTATGCCACACCAAGAAATGCTGGGAAGCAGGCCTTAGACATTCGAACAGCAGTGTATGAAAGAATTTTCTTATTTCTTCTCAGGCTTTTCAACTGTTCCAGTAATGTTACGGATAAGAAAATGGCTTTCAAACCTGTGGAAAAACCAACTTTCTTTGAAATATTTAAGGCACAGTGCAGTGAATCAGGTACAGCTTATCTAAAGTAAATAATTTGTATTAGGGTTGCTTTCTAGGCATCCATATTTTATACACATTTACTGTATGTTCCATAGGAAAGCATTATGCAACTTGTCAGCTGCTGTTCTTGCCCTGAGTTTGTATTTCTTAATACCTACCTTTGTGTAGATTTCTTTACATTTTTATTTGCATTTTCTTTAAATTTTTTATTTGCTTTCCTCATGATGTATGCTTAGTTACTTTTTTGTACTTGCTTTTGTAGCTTTTTCYTCCATCCATACCCACATGTAGACCAAGTTTAGTTGTTCACCAAATGCACCTGTGGTAGTTACTAAGTTCAAAAGCAGTTCTAAGCTCTTTAACTTGCCAGTCCGAGCAAAACAAGATTCTAAAAGCCAGAGCATGCTTGTAATTTTAAACAAACTGGATATTTTCCTGCTCTTTTGGTTAATTTTGTTAATGATCTGAGAATTTGGGCAGATGTTCCTTTTTATCTTGTGGTTATCAAGAGTTTAAAGCCAGCTAGAACAAACTAACCAGAAGTATGGCCGTGGAAGGAGCAATGTGTTTTGCTGTTGGCATTTAAATGCCTGGTGTATTTCCTCCTCCTTGGAGGAACCTTTTTCCTTTTCATGYGGTTTTCCATGTTTCTCCTTATAGATTTAGGGCCTAGCAGTCTCAATTGGTTCGAGGAACTCAGCGCAGAAGCACCCCCGTATGAGCCCAAATTGCTGGGAGAGGTTGACAGTCCCTCTGCCTGGCTTGATCAAACAGCTTTTAAAACTCCAAGGACAAAACCCTCTACATACAGTCAGCTGGTATCAACCCCGCTGCTCTTTAAAGAACAGAATGCAATATTGCTACCTTGTTCTTCTCCTGAAAAAGAGCTGGATCAGAAAAAAATAGAAGCAAGTGAGTAAYTTTTTTTTAAAGTTATACTTAAAAGGTTGCTTGTGCCCTTTAGAAGCAAGATGCCTTTTTTTTTACCTTTTGTTGCAGCTTATTATTATTAATGTAATAGATAATGCTACTGCAGGAATTGTGTGACTAAAAACCTTATTTTAATAGTCTTCTGAAGACCATCTATAAAAAAGCAGAATTAATCTTAATAATTAATTCAACCTTGTGATAAACTGGTAATATAGATGCAAAATTCTCTGTATAAAAGATACTGTTGTGGTCCAAATACTCTACATAGTGTTAATACAGGGAGAAATGAACTTACCAGTATGACCTGTTGACTGCAAATCAGAGTGAATTTTTTTAGCAGTCTCATTTTTGTTTTATGAAAATTTTTGAAGCTGTTCAAGGGAGAGAATCATCCTTATCATGACAAAGTATGGGGGTCACTGTAGGGCACTCTTTAACCTTTCCTGGAAAGATTTAGAAGCATTAAGTTCTTTTAGTTACTAAAATTGTATGTTATGTAAAGTAAATACATTTTTCCATTTGGAAAAAAAAATTTATGAGGCATTTCTCATATGTTATTTCCAAATCCCAAGCATGTCATGGAATTATGTCACACTGCTCCTTTCTGATGTACCTGTCTTCCTTGGACAGGGAGAAGAACCTTTTTTCTATGGAGAATGTATGCAAGATTGTATATAAGAACCTTTTCTATGGGAGTGTATTTAACCCCATTCCTGAAGTTTCTGATTTGTACATCCACTGTGTGTCTGTGTCCTCTTGATAAGCTTTTTTAACCAGGTTACAGACGAACATGAGACTCCCTTTTTTACCAGAATTGTTCTTGGATCCTGAAGCAAATTCTGTAAAAGGGGAGAACTGTGCTGCAGTTCAAGTATACTTTATATCATTGCTTCCTTGGAATATTGTTACTCTCTTCATTTTGCTGAAGTTTGCTGCTGAACTGCTGAGTAGATGTTTCTTCTAAATGTAGCTATTTGTATTTTACAGTGTTAAGTCCCTAGGGAATTTTTGGTTTCAGGAATTTCATTTGTGGCAATTTCAGAAATAGCAAAGAAAGGAACCTTATAGCTGCTTATTTCAAAATGGTCCATTTTGCTCTGCATATGTGCAACGTTCACCTCTGGCTGGCCTGAGATACTCCATTTCTTTGGTTAGAGCAAATGGCTCTTGTGAGAACAGGAGTTTGGATGGAAGCTGATGGATTTCGTACCTTTATGAAAATTTTTGATGTACCTTGGTATTGTACTGGGATGCAGCTGTGCTGTGTGTATGAACTCAGGAAATCGGGAGCAGAGACAAATGCATAAACCAAAGGATAATTTCTGGTACTAAAGTTGTTTGGAAACCTCAGAGTAGGAATTCCTTTGAACAGATGCTTGTCCATGTAAGGGGACATGAATTTTCAGAGGATTCTGCTGCTTTGGTGGGCACACTCTTTCCCTTTTGCCTGGAGATGCTTTGCAAATAAATAGGTGCTGCTGTCAGTGACAGACTCCAACAACAATTCTAGAAATAATTTTTGGGTTTGCCACTTACTCAAATCGAGAAGTTTATAACTTAGTAAATTTGAGGAAAACCTGTACAAACCTGTGTTTGCATGTATTGTATTCCTTCTAAGAGTAACTTCTGCAATGACAAGAAAGGCACAATGCAGTACATTAAAACTGAAATGGAATATGTGATTTGAATAATACCAAGTTAATAAAGTGACATAATGGAGGAGGTTTTTGGTTGTGTGTGTGAAACACATTTAGCATTGTTTGGATGTAAAATTTGAGCATATTTAAACTACTAGAAGATAAATTAGCATTGAGTTTTTGTCTCTTCTTTCGTTTTTTTGAAAACTTGTCTTCAAACTTCAAAATTGAAACTGTTATCTGTAGTTCTGCAAATTTGTGTTGATTATTATATTCTATGTTGTAGATAGAGAGAATTTGATAAGCCCAAGTAACACAAGACATAAAACAGACCAAGAAAATGAAATACTTGCTTTTCCTCCTGGTATCTGCCACAACTGCCTTGCTGCTAGGTATGCTAGAAAATAAATTGGACCTTAAGCAAAAAGCAATATTAAACCCACCAGATTTGCGTGTTAAACTTTTTAAGAGCTTGAATAATCTTGTACGTCTGATATGTTTATGATAGTTGTAGGTTGCTGAGTTGAAAATAAAACACTAGCTAATTTTGAAAATCACTTTCAAGTCCTTGCTTTCAGGTGATCTTTCTTCCTATTTTTCTACTGTTTCAAAGCTGGAATACGTAATTTTATAACATCATTTCAGTTTTTCAAATCATCAACATCCATATAAAGAGTAATAGTGATGTATCATATGCTTCTCAACTAGCAAAGCTATTTATAGTATTTATTGAGATTTTTTTAAATAATAGTCTTGATTTTGGCATTTAAATGTTGTATTTCAGATAAATTTTATCAAAGTACTCATGTTGATTATAAGAAGTCTTAAATTAGTTATTTAACTAAAATCAGTTAAGCCAATTTCCCTAGTTTCATACTGTATGTTATACAATGCATGGTTACATTGAAATTTGTCAGACAAATCATCACTACAAGTTAAAATATTTCTCAAAAGTRACATTTTGCAGTTTAGAGTAGATTTGTGGCAATGTTTAAAATATTGACTGATTAGGGGAGATCTGCATTTTATCTGGTCAGGGAAGTAACCATGGTGAAAAAAAAATGGTGATAGTAATAWATGTTTGAAATATTCAATTATTTTAAGAAATTGAGAAGTGAAATTAATATTTTGGTTTTAATTTTGTTTTTCAGTCCAACTATTTTAAAGAATATTTACAGAACACCTCAGAGAAATAATATCCCTGGTTTGTATTTTTGGTTCTACAAAATACTTTATATCTCTATATAAAAATCCTCATTTTTACTATTTAATGTCATTTTTACTTAATGTTTTTTAGGACCATATGGAAGCTTGTTTTGCACACCAAAACTTTTGGAGGTACAGATTTTATTCATGCATTTTGTTTCCTTTTCCTGAGTAGTACATTTAGAATTTGTCATAGAAATTATATCTGTATAATTGTTAAATGTATTTCCAGGTCAAATCTCCAAAATGTATTTCTGAAAGTCTGGGAGCAGAAGTGGATCCAGATATGTCCTGGTCAAGTTCTTTAGCCACACCTCCTACATTTGGTGAAACAGTGATAATAGGTATGTATAAAGATGAACAATTGCTAAGGGTTAAAAACTTCTGATTTTGACACTGGAAGTTCACTCACTATGAACTGTTTGTTTTTTTAACTAGAAAAATACAAAATTCTTAAAGTGGTGCTTAGTGGGTAACTTTAGATAATGGGGCCCTAAACAGAAAATTTTCAGAAATTTTCTTCSTTTGTCTGAGGAGTTAAGGAATATAAATTCAGAAAGAACATAACAAAGAGTAGAAAGAGGATTAGATAATGTTTGCTTTGCCCTATCACAAAACTAGAAACTGTTGGGCTAAGTTATATGGGTTTGTTTATGAAGTGTAAGGAGGTGGTCTGAGTAAACCTCCCAGCAGCAGTGTTGTCTTCAGCATTTTTAACCACTCTCWCTGTGCCTACCATCATATCAATCCAGTGAGAAAGACTGGGATACTCATCCAATTTAAGACTCGAGCTGCTGGGTTCAGATTTTGTGGGTTGTTTGGACAGGGCAATTCCGGGAGCTCATTTACTGCACAGCTGCACAAACAGCTGTGTCAGCATAGCTGTGAATGAGAATGAGTGGGTGATAATTGCTTCAGTGGTAACCAACAGTGATGATAAACATCAAGCCTTAACCTAAGGTGTTGGTGAAAGTGAGATTTCAGTAGTGTGTGATAAGCAAAATAAAATTTGACTGTATGATTTATTGATGAAAATTCTTGAGCAAATGGGAAGACCTATATGTGTCTCCTTAGCTTCTGACATTGCTTTTTTAAATGTTGTTAAACTATCACTCTGTAGAGCACATAAAACACATTAAGAAYGAATACTAGAATTGGAATCTCTTTTCAGAGGTAGGTATTCACAGATCTACTGAGATGTGCCATTTTGGTCCAGAAGGGTATGAGCTGAAAAGAAAGGCTGGGGGAAGTATCCATACCTTTATGATGATGTTCTGGGACATGAGCTGTGGTTTGAACTTTTACTCTCCCACATCCTGAATAAGCCTAGTATTTTATCATAGTGGTATTATACTCTTTACCTTCTGACACTGTGAAAGGAAGGAGCTGCTACACAGAACCTAGATGCCATGTCCATGAAACATTTTAGTATACTGCTCTTCAGGCATTTTAAAAATGGGGTTCACTTTCTCATTTTATAATGTAGGTGAAGATGCGGTTATTTTGGGAGGAAATGGAGGAAAAAACAAATTCCTGACGGCTTGAAGATCTCATCCCGATCTTTGTACAGAAGGAAATAGGGAGTAGGAATAACTGCTTGAAAGGGGATGGCAGTGATGTTTCAAGGTGGTAACTGGAAACATAGCAGAAACCAGAACCTATGTTTTGTGCTGTTATGAAACTGCTTTTTTACACACCCCTCAGCCTCATCTGTACATCTTTTTTGTTAGAACTTTTAGTTTTTCATAGTTTTTTTTTTAATTTACAGATTTGAGTGGCATTTTAAATAATCCAATGAAAATCCTCCCAAAACACAGCTGTATTTGAACACACTCAGCAGATCACTGTGGAGAATATAAATTGACTTGTCTGTCTTTCTTCTAAAGCTAGAGAGAACGATTCTATTTCTGAAGCAAGGCAACAGGATGGAAGGGCTGATACAGTAAGTAGTTTTAAGAGCTATGTTGTTCTTTAGTTTCAGTTAAGTTATTCAGTTACATGTTTACATTCCTTGAGCCAAGAATAAAAAACACTGTCATTTTCTTTTTAAGCTCTCCTATCTGGCTGTTCTTAAGAAAGTAACTGCTCACAAAACTACATTTGCAATACATGGTTGTGGAACATGTTCTCACAAATAACCCTCTCTGAGGAGCAGTTTTTTCTGTGTTTATTAAAAAAGACAATCCTGGCTCTGCCCTCCACCCCACAAACCCACTTGGCTTCAGCAGCAGTATTCAATGAGAAGTCAAACCTAGGAATTCAATGAGAAGTCAAACCTAGGAATTGAATTATGCTCCTTATCTGAGGATTGGTTTGTCTGTTTTTTTCTCATTTCTGTCAAACTTTTGGAAGTTATTCTTTGGGAATAACTTCTTGCTCTCATCTACTACAATCAAGAGTTGAAATTGAATGTTAATTTCAGTCCTTTGATAGTGGTAGGGAGAGTTCTTGCATAATTGTCATTGCACTCTGTGTATATGAAAGCTGTATGATTATTCAGCCTGAAAACCAAGGATGGCACGAAAAGGATTCAGTTACAAATTTAAATTTGATCCTTAATAACATGAAACTTCACAGTTAACAAACTGTTACAAGGGAAAATAAGCAAAACATCTTTGTCCTTCCTCATACCTCCTTTGTTCCTTTTTTGAGAGGTTTACAGTAAACTGCTGAACCCATACACTGCCCTTAAGTTGACCACAGAATGGAACCTGATTTGCACTGAAATGGGGATTATCTGCTTGTTTGTTTTTCACCTGTACCTGTGAAAATGTTACTTTCCATTTTAAGAGATGGAGCATTAGTGTAGTAAATGTTTTAGAGTTGTGCAGTTGGACTGTTAAAGGGACATAATGTAATAGCTTTTGTCTTTGGTTTACAGATTTTACACAACTATTTTTCCAAGCATGATAAATGTCCTGGGATAAGTGATGCAAGTATGCTGTCTGTACCAGAGACAGTAAAGCTAAATGCTGAAGATGACTTCAAAGATTTGGGTATGCATTGGTGCTTTACCTAATGAGTATTCTGTGAAGCAGGACTGAGGATGAGACTACATCCTATGTTTTGGGCTGATGTTATGGCTTGTTTGTTCKGCCAGCTGTGTACTTCCAGTCCCTGAATTGATTCAATTTTGTGAAATTAATCTAGCCTTAAGAAAGTCCATTGAGTCAGTGAATTAAATCATTTTGCTGGTTAAACCATGAAAGTCAGCTTATGTTGCTACTGGACAACAACCAGATTAGTACTGTGAAATGAGTTCACTGCAGTTGTAGAGTTCAGACTGTGGGAGAGCTGAGAGAGAAGAATAGTACAGGCTCAAGGGGGAGCAAGACTACTGCTTCTAGCTATTGAATAGGCTAGCTTTACTGAAAAGTTTTATCCCAGCACTCGTTATTCTGTGGTGAGCTTGTTTTTAGTTATTGCTGTATCCTTTGTTCATTTATTTCACCTATACAAAATAGATAGTTCAAAATGTGACAAATCCTTTAGGAAAAAATGTTTTGGGTTTTTTTAAATGATAGCAGAAAATACACAAGACAAGGGAAAAACATTTTCATTCTGTTTTTAGATCATGTAAGTGAACAAGTGACAGTGTAAATTCCAGTTTTGTTTTGCTTTGTTTTTTTTTGGTTGGGAAATTATGGCAGAAGGGAAGATTATTACCAGAAATTTGTTCAGCATTCATGAGTGTAAAAGGAGGCTGTAGGGATTCACAGGGGCTAGACAGGACAGTAATCCTTAGGATTGTCTTTCTCCTTTTCGGAATTGAATGGACTGCTCTAAAAGTACCCTTTGGTGGTACATGTAAGAAAGAATTGTGAAAGAATCGGATTAGAATTTGATAAGGAGAATGCTGGGATTAGGAAGCATTGTTGTTTGCAGAGTGATATATGCCTGCTGTTTTTATATTGTAGGTACAGATGTGCTGAGAAGAATGTATTTGGTAGTAAATGTATTCAAGTAATCTGTAATCAATGAAATATTTTTAGAAATTAGGGACAAATAAATGTCTTGGTCTATGTTCCAGTAGGTCATATTACATTGCATACTACAGTACAGAAGACCACTTTAAGATAACTGGTTTTCTTCTCCCTCTTGTTTTTCTCAGACATTGTTTTGAGTACAACACAACTTGCACATTTATTTTTCACTGTGTCTTCCCTTTTTGATAATAGTTAATTTGGCATTTGAAGATGCCGTATAAAAAGAAGGGCAGCTCAAAGCTATAGGTTTGTAGCTTTCAGATGTTGGTTTCCCCTGGAGTAGCGTTGTATGGTCATGAAATACAATATGTTTTTTTACATATACATTTTGTTTCTGTTAAAGGAAATGAGAGAGATCATTATATATCAAATCTTTGAATAATATCATCCTCTGATGAGTTTAGAAGACGAAATGAACTTCCCTGTTTGTTTTTTTTTTTGATCCTGGTATGAGTTAATTGGTGTACAGACAGTATCTGTACAGTTTTTCAGATAAACCTGGTTTTCTTTAATCCAAAAAGGTAATACACTTTGTTTAAGGAAAAAAAAGAAATAAACTAGGTCTTTTTAGAAAGCTCTGCTGACAAGTTATCACAGGATAAAAGGGTATGGGCACAGAAATTGCTTCASAGGAATGTTCTTTAGTAAAGGAAAAGAGCCTACCTGTACCCTCAGTCCTGTAGTGCTACAGTGTTTCTTGGGTTTGAGATCTCATTTAGTGATACCTTCTGCCACTCAGGCAAGAAATAGAAAGCAAAGAGAGTAAGTAACTTTCTATGCCTACAACATCAGCATCACCCATAATGGATGTATTACAAATCATTGGATGTGTGTGACCAAGTATGGGAAATCTTCTATGACTTCCAAATGATAAATCTTTTTGCTATTACACTGTTTAAAAGTTCTAGTAGAGAAAGTTATAGAGTTGTAAATTAAAGAAATTGTACCTAAAAAAAGCTTATGGGAAAAGTTAAGATATTGATTATGGGCCTAAGGAAAACAGAGGACTGTGATGCTTTTTGTGAACTTCATTATGATTTCTTTGATATGAAAAAACCTTTAAAAGTACTCTGCAAATGAAGCCTGGCTATATTTTTGAGCATGGACTCCTCTGATAAGTGAGTCTCATTTTATACATTTTTGGAGGTAATATTTTTATTTGGCATGTGTAAGCTCTACAAAGTAGAGTTTGGGTTCTTTTTCCCCCCTTTACATTACAAACAAAAAGTTCTCATTTTTTTTAATATTTGTGCTAACTACTTAAAAGTATCATGGAACTACTTAAAAGCTTCCTGATCAATTAAAAGATTGAGAATATTTCTAAATCTTGATACTATCATTTTTTATATGATAGTATAAGACAATTTAATAAATTGATCTTTATATAGCAGTTTATTTAGCTGCCAGTTATAGATAAAAATAGGCCACTTCTTAACATGTCTGGTACATACCATCAGGTATAAATTTTGGAAGAAAAAAAACTGGTACATTTATCTTGTCAAATTTACTAATTATCCTCTGTCTGTAGGGGAAAAAATACCCTTTTGAAACAGTCAGGCTTCATCTTGGCAAACTTAACCACTACAGAGCTCAGGAGGTCAGAGCATCTACCTCTTTGTATTTCCTTTGTCTCCTGTTTTCTCTAATAGCTGCTTAGATTTATCTTTACCAACTCACTCCTGAGTAAAGGTAATGACTATAAAATTGAAAGCTCTATTTACCAATAGTGTTCCCAAGTTATTTCCTAAAACTTAATTTCTTTCTTCTTTTCTTCTCCCCATCTTCTCTAAACTCTTTAGAGTCGGAGGTGTTAGATGGCTTACATGGTGAGATAAACAGCTTTGAGGACACATTCAGCATGCCAGCTAAGTCCAGTAGAACTCTTCTTCTGATGCCTCATGCTCTGGATGCAGTAGAGAAATATGAGATAAATCCAGATAAAGCACAAGAAAAGAGGGATGTTCCTTCTGAGCAGCCTAATAGAAGAAAGAGTGGCATTTCACAGGAAGCCAAAACAAATAGCTGGAGTGAAAACAACCATTCTACTGGAATGAACGGTTCTTTACTCCAAAACACCAGTGAAGATACAGGAGATGGTAAAGATGGCTGTTTATTAGGACATGAAAAGGAATTGGAGTCACTTAGGAGTACAAGAGATGTGCATGATTATAGAACACCCAAGTCCTTTGACAATGAGAGGCCTGTGAAAGCAGGAGTGCAGTCTCCATCAAGCCAGTGGTCTCAACTGAATTTGTCTGATCTTGATGTAACACGCCTAGAAATGTCTATATGTAGCTGTCCACCCTTTGAGTTGCATAGGGAGGGATATTTAGAAGAGAAGTCAGGACTAATGACCAAGGATAATCCTGTGGAAACATCTTTGCTGAATACTTCAGGCTTGATAAAAGCACAAAAGCTGTTGAGCGTCAATTTTTCAGAAAAATGCTATGAAATGAAAAATGCTGAAAACAACCCAGTGTCAGAAATAACTCCATTAGAATCTGTGTCATTGAGTATTCAAGATCCAAAGTTAATAAAAGGATGTGCAACTGAAATGAGCTTCTTAAACTGTAATTATTTTTTAATTGAACATACAAATGTCATGGAGTATTCTGTAGTCCACAGCGGCAACTTTTCCACACGTTTAAAAGCAACTTCTAAATCTGCCATAACTGATATTCTGTCTCACCCACTTGTGTGTAATGCCCCATCTCCAGATAACTGTAAAGACCTACCTTTAATAAATAGTGAAAATTCTCTTGCAAAGTCTGGTTTTAAAAGCCTGAATATGCTAACCAGCTTGAGAAAGAGATCCAAAAGATTTATATATAGAATAAATGATACTTTACTGTATCAAGAAGGAAAAGCACAAAAAGAAGTAACTTCTGAACCACCTATTCATACTTTATTACCACATTCAGAATCTTATTCATATGAATTTAGAGGCTGTCAGGAAGCTAATGATGTTGAACAAGGTATATTACTAAGCTTTTCATCATTTGTGGAAGATTCATTATTTGTTTTGAATGTTTCATGTAAATGTTTAAGATAAAATAATGTAAAATCTTGTGTTTCTGGAAAAGTAGCTCTGCAATTGGTAATCGGCATATGAGATTGGTCTGTTATGTAGTGATAAGGATAGCATTATTTTCAAGTAATCTTGTGCTAACTTTTTTTGTAATAGATTAGTTTCTGGAATAGAAACTTCCACCCTGAGCCATTATTCTAATAGACAAGCTTAATTATCTTTGTCAATGCTGGTTTTACATCCATAGTGTCAAGGGCCATTCTGAGTTGGTAACTTCTGAGAGATGATAAAGAATGTTAAAGTTGTGTAGTTATTTTTCTAGGATTAGGGGGTTTAAGGCTGTGCATTGGTTTCTTCCAAAAGCACAAAATATTTTTAAAAGCAATATAATGAAAGCAAGCACATGCTTCTATTTTTAGAAGCTGTTGTTCTTGCTAGAAGAATTACTTTAATATTAGGAATTAAAGTGTTTTAAATTTGAAACAAATCCTTTTGTTGAGACATAAGGAGTTAAAGCACATCTTTTTGAATTTCATTACAACTAAGAATTGATTTATTGTTTTTTATCTAATAGCATTAACTGCAGCCTACTCACTTGTTTCTGGCTATTAGAACAYAATTAGGTTAAACTGATCTCCAGCYTTGTCAAGGCATTTGCATTTGAAAACAAAAGTGATACCTTGGGTTCTGCTGTTAAGAGAACTTAATTTCGACTTATGGAGCAAAATTTTATGAAAGTCTGAACCTACATTTGTTTGAATAAATGTATTCACATTTTTCTCTTCTCTTGTAGACCACTTTCTTCTTGCTGAGGGAAAGCATCTGCAATCAAATACCAGGACAAAGAACCTCAGCACTTTTAGTTTAAAAATTGATACTACAGATACCTCATCTGATAATTCCTTCAGTGATACACTCAAACAAGAAGACTTGAGAGACAAGGGGGAAAATGATACATCAATAAAATGCCTAGAAGTATCTAATACACAGAAAGAAGACATAAAAAAWTCTTTAAATAGTGAGGTCATTTCAAATATGAAATGTAAATTTCTAACTTCAGCACGCCTAATGGCAAGAAAGCATTCCAGATTTCTCCCTAAAAGCTGTTTAAGGAAAGATGAAGAAGATAAGGACATGAGTGCTAACATGAACGATGGAGCTACTGTACCTCAGAGCCTGAGAAAACTTGAGTCTTCTCACAAGGACGAGGAACTCTTGGTTGATATGCACCGTGACTCTACATCTATGACAAAGAGCAGTTACAATAATACTTTGTGTCAGATAAACTTTGGCATAACTGGAATCACTAGTGACAGTTGCAATAAATTATCACCTGATAAAAGGCATGCTACAGACCAGAGGTCAGGAGTTGACTGTAGAGAAGTACACACACCCTTGGGAGTAAACTGCTCAGAAAATGAGAGTACCGGATTAAAACAAGGGGAGAAAACAGATGCAGCTGCCTTTTCAGAGAATGTAGCCAACATCGAAGACCCAAAGTCTGCTCAAAACAGCGGAAGTCCTCAAGCAGCTGCTTTCAGTAATGTAGCTGTAGGCATTTCTAAAGAATTAATAGATTGTGTAGATAGTCGATCTTTAAATGAAGTAATTTCTGCAGAAGATAAACAAGTAGCACCTGTGTATTCCAGCAAAAAGCCAAACCACAACCTAAAGCATAAAGAGAAACCATCAGTGAATCTTAATGCATGCAGTTTCAATCTGGGCTTCAGTGGCTTTCAGACTGCTTCCAATAAGCAGATTAAATTCTCTGAAGCCAGTATAGCCAAGGGGAGAACGCTGTTCAAAGATATTGAAAATGAATGCTTTGAAGCCTCTTCCACAGGAGTCAGAAATTTTTCAAATCAAGTTAAAAAGGAAAATATGTTTTTCTCAGATTCAAAAAGCAAGTTGGGCGGTAATTTATTTGGTTCTTTACATTCACAGACAAGTTTCCTTAAGCCCAGGCATACACAGTTCATTCCACATAAAGTTGGTTTGTGTGAAAGCTTTCCTAGAACTCCACGGGCCTTGCAAGAAGCAAGTCAAACCTTGACTGCAAGTCAAGAAGCTGAAATTGCTGAACTTTCCAGTATCTTGGAAGAAACAGGTAGTCAGTTTGAATTTACACAGTTTAGAAAGCAAAGTAACACAATACAGAGTCATGGATTGCAACAACTAGGATCTGTAGAAACACATGGAACAAAGAATGTAGGAAATGCTTCTGCAACAGAGGAAGATATGAGGTTTTGTAGCACTTTCAGATCTGAAAATCAAGTTAAAGATGACAAGTACTGTACTCAGGAGGAAGACACAAATGAAGGCTCTGAAGTGGCGGAAAATGAAAAAGAAAATGCATTGGTTTTCCATAAAGATGGCAAAAAGGTTACTTCTACCAACTTAGACAGAGACATAAATGAAAGTAGAAAATCTGATGAGAGCTTTCCCATGACTAAGCAGGAGAGCTTTCCTAATTTCATAGGCTTTACTTCAGCTGGAGGTAAAAAAATAAATATTTCAAAGGCAGCTTTGAGTAGATCTGCAGAGCTTTTCAGAGACTTGGATGATGATAACTATTTGTTTAAATYTTCTAAAACTAGTGCGAGATGTCACAATTCAAATGGATCTATGTCTTCTGACAGTAATGTTTTCAGGTGCCTGACAAAAGAAAGCAAAGAAAAAACTGTTTGCGTTTCAGATTTCAAAAGCATAAATGCTGTTTCCCACACAGATTCTGTTTCCTATCATGCACAGAATAAAAAGGAGGAAAATGTTAGTATAGCATTTAAGGAAAATATGGAAAATAGGACAAAAATATCAGTAAATAATGCTGAAAATGTTAGTTTCAGTAGTATAAACATTATCAATGGCCTGTTATCCACTAAAAATCATAAGCAGAATTGTCAGCCTTCCAAACAATTTTTAAATCGAGATGATGAAGGCAATTTGCAAGACAGCTCATTAGATGTAGCATGTCTAGAAGATGCTGTTACAGCTGCAGAAAAACACAGTTTAAATATGTCATATGAAATGGAAACCCAATCTCCTAAGAAGAAAGGAGAAGACAGAAATAAAGATGAATGTTTGTCACCAAAACTTCAAACTCCTCTTGGTGGTGATATATCCATTCCTGTTACAGCTTTGGATCATTCTCTGCCCTTGTTCAGTATAGAGTGCAGAGAAAGAGATGATAATGTTTTGGACAACTCTGACAAAGAAAAAACAAATTGTAAAAATATGGAAGAAGACACCACCTGTGATAAGAATCTGCTAGTGAATGAAAGCAGAATAGAAATAGGTTCTTACAATCATTATCGAACATGTCTGGAGGAAGAGGTAAACATGGGGGAAAATGAAGTAAAAGGGACTTTTCTGACTGTTTTTCATACTGCTAGTGGCAAGAAAACAGCAATTGCTGATGGATTTTTGGCTACAGCGGAACAGTTTTTTGCAGATGTTAATGTAGGAAAGAAGYGTGACAATTTTGAGACCCTCATCAAGAAAAGGAAATGTGTTGAGAACTATGTCAAAGACACTGATTTATGTGTTGAAAGCATTGCTCAATGTGACTCAGAAAAACTTGTGGAAAAGCTTGTTCCTGAAGAACTTGGAGATAAGTTTAATCAGGCAGTGGAGAGCAGTCCTATTAAATATGCTGCTATACTTGATCCTGCTAAAGTAGATACATTTGTTGATCTAGGGGAAGCTTGTGAAAAAGGTTTGGTAAATTCACATGCACATAAAAAATCTGATGTCAGACCTGGAAAGTCAGAATTGGAATCCCTTACAGGACAGAAGAGTGATGCTTTAAGTAGAACTCATTTGTTTGAAGATAGAARACTGCTTACAGAGAAAAATGTGGAATACTCACCAAGAAAGAGGGATGATTCAGAAAACACGAATAGTTTTYCTGTGCACTCTGCTGCGCCTCTGCATTTAAGGATGGTACCAAATGACCTTGAAGATAACTGTGTGCCTGGAGATACAAAAAATACTGTATTTGTTGAGGAGAGCAGCAATAAAGCTAATGAATTACTCCTCTTACCTTCAGAAAGTAGCTGCTCTTACATGAATGGTGACAGTAAGGAATTAGAACATTTAAATGAACCTGTTGCTGATAAAAACTGCTTCACAGACACCACAGATAGTGCTYGCCAAAGCCAGTCACTTGTCAGTCATCCTGAAGAGGAAAGTAAATTTAACAGGTTAAAAGAAACAACACTTAATGTTGAGAAGCAAAAGGGTGATCTGAAACAAACTGTGTTTAGCACAGCAAAAGGGGAAGCAATTTCTGTTGCAGAAAGTGCTTTAGCAAGAGTCAGACAAATGTTTCAAGAAGACTGCAGTGAAGCTGTAAAATACAAAATTGAGCCTGCTTCAAAAACCAATTGGGCAAAAATTTCTAAAAAATCGTCTGTAGTCCTTTATGCTGAGCATCGTAATTCTGCTAAATTTTATAATGCTACAAGTGAAGAGGTTAATTCATCCACTTCCCGATTTATTAAAGTAAATGCAAGTGCTGATGAAAATGGTCACCAAGAAAAAAACACATCTGCAGATGCAAAGTCTCTTTYAAATTCTCAGAAGCAATCCTTTGAGCAGAGTATTAACCTGTTAGGGCACTTGTCTGATCCAGATAAACAGATAAAGCCATCAGATGCTTCTTCAAGAAATTTCGGATTTTTTAGTACAGCAAGTGGAAAGTCTGTACAGCTTTCAGAAGAGTCCCTCAGGAAAGCTAGACAGCTCTTTTCTGAAATGGAAGGTAATCATTCACCACATGTACAAGAAGCACTTTTAGTTGAGGATAATGTTCAAAAGTCTAAAATGCACACTGAAGTACTTCCTAGGAAAATGCAGGTAGTGTTACCAAAAGGGGAAGAAAATATCATCACTGAATTGATTTCTAATTTTGGCTTCAGCACTGCAAGTGGAAAGCAGGTAGAAGTCTCTAAAGATGCCTRTCAAAAAGCAAAGACAATTTTAGAGGAATGTGGTTCTTTTTTGAGTAGTGGGCTTTGCATTACAGATCAATTTAGTTCAAATAAAGACAGTGATCAAAATATAGAACATTTGACAGAAAGGGTGATCTCAGAATTCAAAACTGAAAAGACCTGCGATCAGGACTCTGACTTTAAAAGCATCTGCCCTGAGGAAATGAAGTATTTTCCAAGCACTCACCATGTCAAAATGCCTGAGTATGTACCATATAGTAAACACAAGCAGTTAACATCACTTAGAAACAACTTTCAGCAAGAGGAGACTGAATCTTCTGGAAAAGGGCAGCTGAATCTGGGGTCTGAAGCAATTTCATGCAGTGCTATTGCTAAAGCAGAAATTAATACTAATCTTCAAAGTCCAAAAAATTACTTGGAAGTAGAGGCTGTAGAAAGTGCAAGAGCTTTTATGAAAGACAGTTTTTCCAATTCTGGAGTACAAATTAATGCTGTGCAGACCTTCAGTAGCAGACTGGATAAAAACTTCCAAAATAAGACCTTTGGGAAGAGGCACTTTGAAGAAAACAWCTCACTTGGTAGGTGTTTTATCTTACATATGTTCAACTCCGTATTTCCGCATAGTGAGTTGTTTGATGTTTGGGATTTTTATTTGCTTGTCACATTGATTTTTAAGTCACAGAGAAATTCAAGTTCTTTCTCCAGATGTCAGTGACCAAAACTCTTCTTGCTGCGGGAGGTAGTTCATCCACCCTTTCCAGGCTTAAATCACAGTAGAAGCTGAATTTGTGATTAGTAATTTTGAAGATGTACAAGTTTGCTGTTTTAGTATCAATGTACAAAGAAAGGTACTGCTCCATTTCTCCCTGAGCAGATTTCCTTCTTTTTCTTTTCCTCTCTCTACAAATCTAGTGTTTTTTCATTGAAGAATGAGTAGCAGGATTTTCATTTTCACCTTTTTGTGTATTGTAGGTGGACAACGTTTCACTTCTATTGAGATTGCTAGTCTTATATAAAATATAGTTGTTGGTCTAAAAGCAGTTTCTTGCCATCTAAAGTTGATCTGTCTAGGGCTGAAGCATTGGTATATGATGCTTGCAYAGACACCCAGACCAGTTCAGGGACCTGGGCTTGCTGAAAATTACTTGTGGAAGGTAGATTGCATTAGAGTCCCTGCCTGGCTGCACAAGTTTGGGTGCAAAGGTCAAGCAAGTCTGTGCTAGAACGTTTGGGTAGGTGGCAAAAGGCAGGTGAGGACTCTTCTCCATCCAGCTTGAAACAGCTGGGCCACATCTGAATGCTGACCTGAGTTTCAGCTTCTGTAAAAAAATGAGTTAGTTTTTTAGAATTCTGGAGGGACTCTTTTGTTACTGAAAGTACGAAGAAATATGCAGGTGAGCTGTGCTCCTGCAGTGCACTGTGATGCACTTTCAGAGGCAAACTGAGTGTGTTCAGAAACTTCAGATTTACGATTTGGATGGAAAAAAAATCACTGATCACAAAAGTTTAACAACAGACTTCATTATACGGAGTTTTATTGTCACTCTGGGTAAAACAGATATGGAGTCCTCTGTACAGAAGAAACATGCAATTTGTGATGAGGTGGCTCTGTTTGAAAAGGCCATTTAAGATRTGCAATCTGACAATGTGCTAATTTTGCTTGCTCTGACTTCAGTGTTTTATTTAGAATTTACGGTTATGTAGTGCGGATTGATAAGAAACTGAACTTGAAAGGAACATCACTTTTAAAATTGTGTTTTTATTTTAGGAGAGCCTCCAATTAAAAGACAGCTTCTGCTTGAATTTAACAGAACAAAGAATTCCCCCAGATCTTTGAAAGCTTCAAAAAGCACCCCTGATGGTAATTTTAGTCATCTTGTGTTCTAAGCACTAATACAGTGTCAGTTGTTACCTTTAGAATTCTTCAATTTCCAATAAACTAACATATATTAAGTTTGCTTAACTACTGCATTTATCAATATAGTCATGGAAATTAAAGGAAGCTGCTGTGGTCATGTCTCTGCAGACTTGAAATCACATGATTACTGATATTCCTTATTGCATGGAATCTAAATATATTACTTCTGCAAGAATTCTGGTTTAATTTCCAGTTCAGTAGGAATTTACCCAGTTTCTCACAATCTTAAATCTCACAAATTCTAGTTTCAATAGGAAGAATGCATTTTCTTGGTTATTCTACAGAATATATTTTATTGATTACTTTTGTATTTTCTGATAGATACTTACTGATAACTGTCTATATTACAGGTGCTTATATTTTGAACAGGTAATATGGAAACTTATGGAAGTGAAATCAAGGCTTTTAAAGTTTGATGTTTTATGTGAAGCTAATTACTGATTGAGGTATTAGGATAGTGTGATTTTGGTACAGCTTTCAATAATGGGATAAGCTGTATTCTTAAGGAATGTGCTCTTTTTAAGCCCTGCATTCTCTGACCGAGGATTCAGCAGCAGGATTGATCAAATATTTTGTTCTAGGCATAGAAGCCATGATTTGAAGTACTGAATGGAATTTGTAAGTTGCCGGAGAATAATTTTATTCCCTTCATCTGTCAATATTCTCCTACCCTGCAGCAGGACCTAAACAGTGTTATTCTTTGGTGGACAACTGAAAATAGTTGTAATCTCCAGTACAGCCTTGCCTCTGACTTCCAGAATATGTGGCACCTTGTATATACAATTTCTCATATGAAACTTCCTCTTTGCAGCAAAAGGGCACAGCACAAATGAGTTTAGGATTTAGTTACATTGATAATTCCAAGATAAGCATGTCCTTCAATTACAGAAGGAGGAGTTTGTGCAAATGTGCCCTTTTCTGTTGTAACTTCAAATAAAAGAATAAAAGTTGCTGAGAGTTCAAAGTGGAATGGTGAGCCTACCTGGAATTAAATATATAATAAACATTCCCTTTCAGGAGCCTAAAAATATCTTGCCGGCTCACAAACATAAACTCTTGTGAGTTCAGCACTGTGATCACTTATCCTTTAGATCTTTCTGAGAAGATGTTTAAACAAACACTTTGGGGCRCAGGAAAGAATAAAGCTGTTTAAATCCACTCTGGAAAACTTTTCTGTATATCATTAATATAGATAAAACATGTACTGTAAATATCTTATCTATCCATGCAATTTGCCATTTCAAACATTTTTTCCTAATTACAGGTATTTTCAAAGACAGAAGAAAATTTATGTACCATGTGCCTTTAAAACCCATAACTTGTCAGCCTTTTGGGTGAGAAATTTATTACATATTTTGGAGTTCTTCAAATGCAATCTCTTAAAACCTCACAAGGCTTTATAACTTTCTAAAAATACACAGTAATAATTTATTGCCCAGCCTTATAAAAGACTAATAATTTTACTTCAAAAGAAACATAAAATTACCATATAAAACCTTGCTGCAGTAGACCAGTGAGATGCTACACAAATATACCCATTATACTCTCTTTTCTCAATAGACAGAAATTAAGTATTCAGTTTTTTAAATTTCAAAGACTGATATTTTGTCTTTTTATTGATATAGTATTGAAAGTCGTATTACTAAATCAAGAATACAAAAATCCTTACAAAGATTTTTGTGAGGAAGATGAAACCTGTATGCTTAAATGTTTTCATCTCTGTAGGTCGACTAAAGAACATCAAGAAGTCAAGAATCCTACCCTTACTCTGCCAGATCAAGACTCCAGAGGATTTCAGTCTAAACSTGCAATTTTTCAGCATTGTGCTCTAAGGCAGTCTTCAAATGGTACTGCAGTTGTTTCCACTCCATGTAAGGCCTTGGCAAAAGAGAGTGAAGAAACACGGAGTATTTATAAATCTGGCAAAGCTGCTAAAACTTTTATTCCACCCTTCAAAACCAAGCTGACATTTTCTACATGCAAACAAGGCAGCAGCAAAAAATGTGACTCACTCATCAGCAAAAATATGACCAAAGAGATGGAATTAAATCAGATGACAACAGAACAAAATACTGCTGACCCTCAGGATCCCCAGTCTTGCATCCAGCATGCAGCAGACACTGACCTAGAAAATGGTAATTTAGGTATTTTCAGATTTTACTCACTTAACTATTGTGGATACTATCAGAATGAAGCTTTTAATTAAAAAGCTTCTTTTCAAGCTTTTTTTTAGGGGGGCAGAAAAATCAGGAAATTACTACTTTCTTAATATTTCATATTACACTCCTAAAAATGCATATGCTGCTTATCTCCAAGGTTAATTGAGAAAATGAAAAGTATTTCACACAATGCTTAGAAACAAGATAGCTTATGTTTCATTTGATATTTGATTTTTTTGTATACCTCTTAAGTATTATCTTTTTGGTAAAATAGTCTATAAACCTTAGACAAGCCTTCATTCGTTTTTTCAGAGGCTTTTTTTCCTTCCATTCTCTAATTAAAATGTAGGCTTTGCCATATAAATGGTTGATTGAGTAATTTTCAAAGAGGCAGAGTTTAAATGTTCAACTGTTAACTTAAGAATGTGGGCTTATGCCTTCTAAGTGCTCTTGAATGTTCTGGTGTGTACTATTTCTATCATTTACATACCATTTGTTTCGTATAAATACTTTTCAAATGCCTTCAGCAAACACTGTTTTCTAATTGCATTTAACTTTTAATATTGAGACTTGTAGTTTCTAACAATCTGCAGAGTGGCATGGAAAAAAATCCTCTGAATCTGCTTTTGCAGTGTGACTGAATATCTTTATTTGATAATACTTTCAAAAGGTTTTGATGTTTTTGGTTTTCTGTTTCACAGTGGTGACAAGGATGGTGACAAACCTCCGCTGTGCCAGAGATCTGCAGGAAATGAGAATTAAAAAGAAATGTAGGCAAAATATTCGCTCACAGCCAGGCACTCTTTATGTCATTAAAACATCTGCAAGCAATAGAATCTCTCTGAAAACTGCAGTAGAGGAGAAACCTCCTCGTTTTTATTCTACTGAAGAGGTATTTTGATATCTTTTTATTTTCTGTCTCGCATCTGTTTCTGAAGACTAGCAAATAAAAACTCAGTAGCTTTTGAATCAATACACTCTTCAATTTTTAGTTAAGTATTTACAGTAGCTGTTACACCAGTTGCTACAGTACATAAGTAGCATGTTTTTAAGTTTTTAAGACTGTTCCTTAAAGGTCATAAATGTCTCTAGTGTTATAATCAAACAGGAAAAAAATCCACCAATTAGAACTCATATGAGGAGCTGGTTTAAAAGAACAGTTAAAATTTGAGCTTAAGTAAATGTCTATGAAAATACTCTTGCTTTTGGTACAGTGAAGGTACAAAACATATTTAATTTTTTAAAATACTTTCAAAGAGCGCTGTGATGCTGTTCTGCTGAAACAGTTGTTGGAAATTCCTCCATTCTCCATGATTTACATATGAAATGGCAACACCAGACAAAATCTGTCTCAGCCTTAAGGGAATATTTAATATGAATTAATAAGATCAGATATTTAAACTCTGAGCTGAATTCTTACTCTATTGTCATTATTTTGTCTTTTTCATCTAATTTTTTTCAGCTGTACACGTACGGAGTTTCAAAACAGTGCGTACGAGTTAACAGCATAAATGCAGAATCTTTCCAGTTTCTCATCAAAGACTTTTTCAGTGAGGAGTATTTGTTAGCTGGAAATGGAATGCAACTTGCTGATGGAGGATGGCTAATACCTACAGATGAGGGAAAAGCTGGGAAAAAGGAATTTTACAGGTACTGTTGCTTCTGAACTTGAGACAACRATACTGTTATTTGGCAATTCTCTTGTCACCTATAATAAATCCAACACAGTGGTATTTTAAAGCCTCTGACTACTTTCTTTTACTGTGCATTTTTAGCACACCTCTGTTAGATTAAATAAAGGTATTATATGATTGTAAATTTACTATCCAGATAAATGTTGCTAGTGATGGATCTTCATTAACCATTAAAGAATTCAATTTAGAAAATTTCTAGAAATTCTTCAATAGTGCAAATAGTCTAAAAAATATGCAAGTTAAAATTTGCAGTGGATTTCAGGTTAATTTATTAACTATTTATCCACAGAGCCCTCTGTGACACTCCTGGTGTAGATCCCAATCTAATAACAGAGGCCTGGGTTTACAATCACTACCGATGGATTGTATGGAAACTGGCAGCCATGGAAGTGTCTTTCCCACATGAATTTGCTAACAGATGTTTAACACCAGAAACAGTATTGTTGCAGCTGAAATATAGGTACATGTATAGCAATATATTGGGAGCTGTAATATGTGTTACTGTGTTCTTTCTGGTTGATCAGTATTATAAAATAAGTGCCTCTGTCTTTCATTTACTACTTAGCAGTCTAACTTGTATTGTTAGACTTATGCATAACAATATTAAAAAATGTGTGTTACTTGCAAAAATGTAACATTTGCTTTGCTACAGTGGTGCTTAATCATGTAGATCAAGTAAGCTACAAATCTGTTTAAAGAAAAACAGTGTGATGGATTTTATTTGCTTTAACAAAGTATGAATTCTTTTTTGTAGATATGATTTGGAAGTTGGTAAAAGTAAACGATCAGCAATCAAAAAAATAATGGAAAGAGATGATGCAGCAGGTAAAACCCTTGTACTGTGCATTTCTAAAATCATATCGCTGAACACAATTGTATCCCCCAGCAGTAGTAATAAGAACATGGAAAGTAAAAAAGCAGCAGCARTCATTGAAGTTACTGATGGCTGGTATGGGATTAGAGCTCTTCTGGATCCACCTCTCAAAGCTTTCTTAGATAGAAGAAGGCTGACTGTTGGTCAGAAGATCATAGTCCACGGAGCAGAGCTTGTTGGTCCTCAGAATGGATGTACACCACTGGAAGCTCCAGATTCCCTTATGTTAAAGGTAAATAAAATACTAGTTCAGCTTGATTGGATGTAACTGAGAGATGTGATAAATGCTACTTAGTTGAGCCACGTTTTGTAAACAGAAAAAGTTATTGGGGCTTTACAAACAGATGGAGCTTTGCTGAAATTTAATAACTGGGTTTGTAAGATATGACACAAGGGTGTTATTCAATAGAGTTGGAAGAGAAGTTTGTAGTATGAAATTCTGCCAAGTTTTGCTATGTGTTTTGGCAGTTCTGGCTCCTTAATTTGGTTAAATACCAAGTTACAAAAAGGTACTTACCCGTCACAGACAATATGGAAGTTGGAGGAAAAATGGTGGGGAGAAAAGAAGTCATGTATCTATGGACTGACAGGGAAGGTCCTTGGTTCATTTGAGGATGATTAAAGAGCTGGGTGCAGTTTCAGCATAACACTACTGCTCCTCTGGTATAAAGCAAAGGCTTGTCTCATAGATTCTCATTTCCCAGAGAATTTTACCTTTCTTTAAAATACAATTTTCAATGTGAAAGAAACATTTTTTAATCCTAAACCTCTTTAAATTAAAATGTCATCTGCTCAGGTACAAAAGTGATACATTCTTAATGAGGTCAGTATGAAAATAGATATGCAGATATTCTTGTAGATATAATAAGTCAGCTATAACTTTGGCCTACTAGTGACAGTTTATCACTCACCATTTCCCTTACTCAGATCTCAGCGAACAGCACTCGATGTGCACGATGGCACGCAAAACTAGGATTTCATCGGGATCCCAGGCCTTTCCCTTTGCCTTTATCATCACTTTACAGTGAGGGTGGTGCAGTGGGGTGTATTGATGTAGTTATTCAAAGAACTTACCCTATTCAGGTATGGTGCAACTATTTTATGAATCTTACAGGTTTTATAAGATCTAAATTATATTACTGAATTGCTATATCATTCCTTAAATACTATATAGAGAGCTAATTTTTTTTTTTTTACAGATACTCTTATGTGTAAAGTGAACAGAAGTGGTTCTTGCATTGTGCATGTATTTAGTATTTCAGGACTGGAGTATGCTATTACAAGAGGAATTTGAGTTTATGCTTGGTATCTTTTTTGGTCAGCTTTGCTTTCAGCTTCAAAAAACGAGTAATAATTGAATTTCAATTCTGGACTCTAAAAAGTACAGCACTTGCTTTAAAGAAGRAAAAAGACAGTTTCATCTCCAAGTAGAAGTGAAACCAAATTTGTTTTATTATTAACATAGAAGTTACATATTTCTGAGCTTTAGTAGAATTACTTTTTCCTGTATGTAACTGACTGAATTGTGTAACTTCTATTATTTAAAAATACAACTGAAAATACAGTGTGTGATTATGGTGTAAAATAGTGTTAAGATCTTTTAATGCCACTTGATATCCAAGCATTTTAAATACAGTCAGACTTCACTGCAATTGTTTGATTTTGTAACAATACCAGACACAAAAAGAAACAATATTTCTGTTGGTAATCAAGCCTTTTAATGTTAATAGTTTTACCAGGACACAACTTTCATATTTTAGTAACTTTTCTCAGAGTGTTATACTTGGCACTTGCATCTAGAATTCTTTTTTCATTGCCTTCTTTCTAAGGTGTTGCATGTGTTGGTGAATGTAGAATAAATTCTGCATAGGTACTAGCAACATCTGGTTTGGATCATTGCTATTTAGAGCATTACTTTAATGGAGAAAATTGCAGCACTTATTATGTGAGCGGCCTGGTAGAACAAACATTTATTTAGGTCTCAGAAAAGGGACTGCAATCTGTAACTGCATCACAGTAAATGGTTTCCAGGCCAGAGAGGAAAGTGGTGCTTTGTATCTGGCTATATCAAGAGATTGATGTTCTGATGTATTTTTTTAAATACTGAGACTCTTGCTCAAATATACCTAAATTATAGGAAGATTTGAGCTGTCTGTCTCCTTTTATCTGAAGAGTCAAGGAGTGTAGGAATCACTGTAGCCTTAATTAAAGTTGTCAAGCTATGAGTCATGTAGAAAATACATGGTGTGCAATTAATGAGGCAAGTAGAACCTATTTCAACAATACACTGCCTCATAAGGAGTAGTCCTGTGATCTTTCCTCATCCTGCTTTCACTATACTCTCCTGCTCTTTCTCTGTTCTAAACCTGGAACTAGCTAATTTAATTCATTAAACCGGGAAAAGGTAACTAATAATAACCTAAAAAATACACAGTGAAGAACTACTGTTGAATTATCAGATATGGTCTGCTGAGGTCAGATCTGTGCTAGAGCCAGTGCGAGGGAGAAGACAGAACTGTGCAGAAAAGGGGAAGGGAAGGGCCCGCTTTTAGCAGCAGTGGTCCTCCTTGTTTGGCTCACTGACCTCTTCAGTTCTGACAGGGTTGTGGACGAAGCTCTAGTCCTATGGAACCATTTAAGGCAGAAAACATTCAGGACCATCTGCAGAACTACATCATGGTTCTTTTATGGCATCTATCTAGGGTGTTAAAACAAACAGTACAGCTGATGTGGAAAGACAGGTTGGGTAGAATGCAGTCTGGTGTATTTTCAAGCATTGAGTTTGATGATTTGTGTCTTAATGTATCTACCAGTGGTATCCATTCATCTTCTGAATTRCAACACTGATACCTACTACTTGAAACTGTTTTCTTCAGCTAGTTTTAGATACTGCTCTGTTCTGTCTGTGTAGCTTTAAAGTGAATATTTGTCAACCAATGCCGTGGGCTTTTGCCTTTTATCTATTATACTGAAAGAACACATTGCTGCCCGTTCATTTTTAAAGTCTCTTGGCTTAACAGTTGAGTATTAAAGGGAAGCTAGATATTGTTAAAAATAACGTTTAAAAAGTCTGAGTTTAATTTCAATTTTTTTATTTCAGTGGATGGAAAAGACGTCGGCTGGTTCATACGTTTTCCGTAACAGCCGAGCTGAAGAAAGGGAAGCTGCCAAGCATGCAGAGGATCAGCAAAAGAAACGGGAAGCTCTGTTTGCAAAAGTCCAAGCAGAATATGAAAAGCATGAAGGTAAAACTTTCGTTCTTTCAGAACATATATTATGAACACAGAAACATTTTTGATGTTTACAGAAGAGTCTAAATAAATTGTCTGATATCCTCTCTGGTGACAGAGAATCAGAGATGGGATTTTGGGTTGTTTCCTTTGTTGTTGTTGCTGGTTTTGTTTTGTATCAGTTTAGCTTTTTGCTTCCTATGTATCAATTCCTATGTACATTGTTTGTATTTTTATTCTGGCAAGGCCTAAGTACTGCTGTGTTTCTTACGTAATTATTTCTTTATTCACATTTTTGTGTATTGATTGTACTCCACTTAATGGCTTTTTCTCAACAGAGAGAACCAGTAGAAGAACACCAAGATCACGGATAGTCACAAGACAGCAAATCCATAATTTGCAAGATGGCGCAGAACTTTATGAAGCAATTCAGAATGCATCTGATCCTGGTTTTATGGAGGTAACTGTAGATCCCACTSGACTAATTTTGAAAAGTTTGTGGGATAAATTAAGATTTAATGCCTCCTGCTAAAATTGACCATTAAATTACTCTTTGGTTGTGCTGCCTTTTGGTATTTTCTACATCACGCTTATTGCTAAATAAATTCAAAACAAGAATTTTGAAAAAAAATTAATGAGGTTGTTGAGATTGATTAATATTATCTTGGATGGCAATTTTCTCAGGGTATAAAAATCCAGGATATAGCACAATTAAAAGTTAATGTTACTTGTAATTTTATTACTTTGCTTTGTCTTGCATATATAAAAACTTAATGCATCACATAAGTCTAGAGTTTCATACACCTACTCTTGCATGCTGTTCACTAAAATGTTTGAATAATCATATTGCCATAGTTCTCTTCATTGTCTGTTTCAGTTAAATCACAACTTTTAAAAGTTTATGCCTTTATTAATAAAGATGCAGCTGATTAGTCCCTGCCAGTCATTAAAAATTAAATACATGCCTTGCCTTCTGAAACTCAGCATCCTTGACTATCATAAAGCCATATGATCTGTGACTTTATTTTATTAAATGGTATCCATRTATCTGGTGTTGCATGTACAGGCCTCTGAGTCTTGAGGGCTTGGTCAGAAAAGTGATGTTTCTGATGCATTTTAGTGTAAATCATAGTGTCAGCTCAGAGACAGCAGCCTGAGGAGAAATGCAACTCTTCCTTTATTCTTACAGAAATTTTTCCTAATGTGTCTTCATATGAAACAGACAAGCCTACCTGTTACATTAAATATTCACCTTAGTTTGGCACTCTCAAGCAGGCTTCTCACTAATTGTCTTGTAAGAACAGTATGTAATGTAATGCTTTGTGTAGAGCACAGAGCACCAGCTGAGTTCCAGGTAAGACTGATGCGTCCTGTTGTTTTGATGTACCTTATTTCAAGTCGTAATAGTGTATCAATTGGACAATAAATTTCTTGTAACAGATGAAACCTTAAGAAAGAGACTTTATGAAAATCTTGACAGTGTTTTCTTGATTAATAAAAAAGCTACCGAGTTCATTTTCTCTTGGTTGCAGGGATATCTCAGTGATGACCAGTTAAAAGCCCTGAAGGCTTACAGGCAGCTGATAGATGACAAGAAACAAACTCAGATGCAAGAACAATTCAAGAAGGCTTTACAGTCAGCAGAACAGGAAGAAAATGGTTGTTACAAAAGGGATGTGTCTGCAGTATGGAAATTATATGTGGTAGACTATAGAAAGAAAGAAAAACATAAAGGTTAGTACTTGAAAAATTATAAATAACTTGTAACTAAATGTGGTAACTGGCCAGCATAAGTAGTTTCCCAACAGTATTTTAGCTTGCATGTTAATATTTCCAGTTTTAATTGATTTTTGGTTTAGGGCTTTTGCGGGGAGGGAGTGTTGTGGATTTATTTTGTTTAAAAGCCTTCAAATTATTACTGAGCAGGTAACTTACTTTACTGTRCTGTTGTCAGGAGCAGTACTGAGTATCTGGCGCCCACTGCCTGATGTGTGTTCCTTGCTGAAGGAAGGCACTCGCTACAGAATCTTCCAGCTGGCAGTGTCACAGTCCAGGGCACGGGCAGACTCCACCAACATCCAGTTAACAGCAACAAAGAAAACTCAGTATCTACAGCTATCAGTAAGTGCCCTAAGTGCAAAAAGATGCATCATTAAAATGCATCACACACGATATGTGTGGTAAATACTGAAGTTTTGTGTTTCCTCAGGTGTCACAGAAGATGCTGGTACAAATTTTCTTTCCAAGAAAGGCTCTAGAATTCACCAGTTTGTTGGATCCTTCTTTTCAGCCACTGTGTGCTGAAGTGGATTTAGTCGGAGTTGTAGTTTCTGTTAGCAGAACAGGTACGTTGTGAACCACATTCATGTCTTGCCATTGAATAAGACTATTTCAAAAGTCAGAGTTATCTTGGTGTTGTACCTTCATCTTAGGCTGTGAAAACCTTGCTGGCAGATAGATCTGTTTTTTTGAAGAAAAACTCCCAGGAAGTTAGTAATGCAAGATCTAAGCTCAAAAGCAGCTCATATTTAAATATTGTTATATTTTTTCCATAAATGGTGGACATAAGTTCTCCCATCTATGTTCAGCATCTGCAGAAGCACCAAAGTGCATGCACATGAGCTCCCTCTTTAATGCACAGTGTCATGGGATGAGTGGAATGCAGGCACTGGACCTCATGGATAGGGAGAGGTGGATAATCTTCTGGATAAAAAAGAAAATCACTATAGAAGTATTGGTTTTAAGCACACAGACTTTGAGTTGTTTTCTGTAATCACTAGGGAGGTGGTGTAGACTATGAAAGATGCTTGAGACACCTGTTACCATGCAGATGGGCTGCCATGTAACCCTTTCAAGTTGTGTGTGACTTCTTTTTTATGGATCCAAATCACAGACCTTTACTTAAAGATATAAAGGTTTCGTTCAGACTTTTTTTCCTGCTTTTAGGTTTCACTACTATGGCATACTTATCTGACAAAAGCTACAATTTAGTGGCAGTAAAGATCTGGACAGATCTCAGACACTTGGCTGTTGAAGATGTAGTTGTCCGCTGCTCACTCATTTCTGCAAGCAACCTTCAGTGGCAGTCTGAATTCAGATCAGAAATTCCTGTGCTGTTGGCTGGAGACCTTTCTGTGTTCTCAGCCAGTCCAAAGGAATGCTATCTTCAAGAGAAGGTTAATGAACTGAGGAGTGTGATAGAGGTAATGTTTAGTTTGATGATTAGTTTTAGTTACTGCTGTGTTACATTCTTCACCAACAAGTCTGTTAGTATTAATAAAACTTTAAAACAAGTAATGCACATAATACTGAGTTTGAGGGGATTTTCTGGGAGGTGAAGTAAGAATGTTAATGCAGTTTTCCTGGTGGATTGAATGTCTCAATTTATTTTTCCAGTTCAATTCAACTCAACCAATACTGTCTTTGGGATATGCCACAGAATCCTCTCTGGCTGGCAGAAGATCTTTACCTGTCAATAGGAAATCTGCCATGGTTTGAAAGTGCAGCAATCTTTATGTTCTTGGTTTGATACAAAATAAAATTCCAGTGAGATTATGATGCCAAAAAAATCTTAAATAATTTGTGAGTGTATAGTACTTAAAAACCAACTATTCTGCCTTGCAAACTCTTTTCCCTTACAGAATGTGGCCTCCTTTTGCTCTGATGCAGAAAGTAAATTGATGAATTTGCTACAAAGAAATCTCCTGCTTACACCCAGTTTAACTAAAAGATGTGGCTTGGAAAGCCCCTCTCCTTCCTGCAGCTATGCAGAGGATAAAAGTTTGGTAAGCTTCTGGAAATTAATTCTGTGTTAGTACTGACAGTACATGCAGTAAAGATATAAGCAAGTGCTATACTGATAACTATGATGAATGGAATCACTTCTCAGTCCACTCCATCTGTTCTCTTCAGGGCAGTGCAAGCTGATTAGAAGCTTTCTCTGTGTTTGGGTTTAGGATTATTCCCCAGGAGGAGCCATGATATAGATTATCCTTCTTCCAAACAGTACATGAAAACTTCCCCTTGTGACCTGTGTTTCCACAATGTACTTTAAGTATTGTGAATTTGATGTGAGTTAAAATGAATCATCCTTTCTCTATAGGTGACTTATTGCTTCTTTGGTCCCACTGTGAAGATTATCAAATGTGAATGTCACAAAAGGAAAAATCTTGATCTGTACACTTTTATTTCAAGGCATTCTGCAGTTCCCACCTTTGTTGAGAGAATTTACCTCCTGGTCTTTTCCTAGATACTGTTTACTGTTTCCAGGATTTAAAAGGGAAGTAAATGACTTTAGGAGTCTAGACAAATAATGATTTAAATAGTACTCAAGTTTCCCATGAAAACTGCTTGTGGTGAGTTGCCTCTCATGTGGAGTACTGAGCACAATCAGAACAAAAACTTTTCCTGCAATGAGTTGCAGGGGAGATGGAAACACCCTGGTTTGATATCAGTTCCTGGGGACCAAGTTTAAGCTTATAATGCATTCTTCTCTATTTCAAAAGGAGGGCTAATATTTAATTCTGAAGCTTTAGTTTGTATTTTTATAAACTAAATAGTTTATATTTTTACAGTTTATTAAATATATTAATCATCTTTAAATGACTGAGACATTAAAGGTATTCTCAATTAAGCCTGTGGTTGAATGATTTGCTGTGCAGCATCTGTCTTGTATGTATTGTTATTTTCAAATTTTTTGGTCTATGTTTTCTACTGGTTTTTCTTCAATATTTTTTCCTGTTTACTTATTTAACCGACTGCCTGTGGAGGACATAGCCAAAGCAGTAGAAGACTGCTTTGATTTATTACCATCTAAAAATTCCCATACATTTTGCTTAGATCCTAGAAACAGAATGTAACAGTTTTATCTTAATGTACAGGTAAACAGTGATCTATCAATCATCAGCACTTGAAGGAATAAGATTAATCACCATCAGGAGATGCCAAACTAAACTTCAGTGGGACATGAATGATATTGTAGCATTTCTATGTAAGGGAAGGGAGGAGGTCCCCCATTTTGTGGAAGTCATTGAGGAAGCTGATGAAACAAAACATTCTATTTAACATAAAAATTCTCTCTTTTTAACCAGATCTCTTCTAGAATTGAAATGAAGCACCCAAGGCCTTTGTCAACTAGCACACCAAATACAAAACTTGTCACACCAGGGTCAGCAAAAACACCTTCATCTGCTGGAGTTAATGAAGRCCATCTCAAAACCAGCAAAAAGAGAAAAGCTATGGACTTTCTCAGTTGCATACCTGCCCCTCCACCACTGACACCAATATGTTCAGTAATTTCTCCATCTGTTAAAAGAGCGTTTCAACCTCCACGAAGTTTGGGTTTACATCATAGCAAATCATCAAAGGAAACAGATCAGAGTATTGGCCATGTCACCCCCTGCAGAAAACTGAGAGAAGCTGTCCATCTTCCTGAGAATGACCTGATTGCTGATGAAGAATTAGCAATGATAAATACACAAGCACTCATGAATAATATACTAGGAGAAAAAAAGATGGATTATGTAAATGAAAACAGCAGTGCAACAGCTACTACTCTATCTGATGATCTTTCATCCAGAAATAGTTCCAGGTCTACTGTGGAAGCTAATAATTTATCAAAAGCAGGTTTGAAGTAGCTGAGGCTTTTCAGAAGAACCCAAAGGAACCTGAGGACTCGTTACCAGCATGCAGAATGCTACAAAGACAGAAATGCTGCTAATGCACATGTACAGTATTGTATATATTTCAAATTCAAATTATTTTTGCACTTTGTACATTAAAACTTGATTGTATTTAATAAAGTTCTATTACAAAAACAGACTCATGCAATAACATTTAATTTGCAAATGAGTTTGAAATTTAGTATGTAAACACTTCTCACAAAGATGTGTTGTACAATGGCATCAGTGTGGCTGAGGGTTTGATGACATTTTGTAAGCCAATGCTTTGATTCTGATGTGTCCTTACATTACAGCAGGATCTTTGTTCAGTCTAAAGCCACGGGTTGTGTTACCCTTTGCAGCATTAGAACAGCTGTTTGGCTGTCCAAAGCAGGACAGGGCAAAAAATAGAGTTCTCTTATTTTCACCAAACAAAATACTTCAATTCTGAAATGCTGCTTTGCAATTCTGGCACAGTTCTTGTACTTTTCTCCTCAGGCTTTCTATATAGCACTAGAAGAGGTTTAGAGAACAGCTAGGATTATTTGATTCACAACAAAATGCAACATCGAGATACTTCGGTCAGTGTTTCTGCTTATGCTGTTCAGAGCTGCTCCTGTGGTTCCCACTTAAAGAGTTAACATGCACCAACCTAACCCTAATGTTTCATTTACGAGCCTCTTCATCACTGGATCCAGAACTATGTCTTGGCAAGCTGAGGAGCTCAGTTTGCTATTTTGAAGTGTTTCTCTTCCAGTTTGGAGAAGCTGTTTGTGTGTGAGGTAAGACCAGCATGAATGCAGTCAGTGGAGACAAGGGAACAGCATGAAATTTTGCTACCATCTATCAAGCTGCTTTTGCCATCATTCTCTTTGCCTCTGAAAGTTACAATAATGATGTAGGCAAGATAGTAAATACAAAAGGTTTATACAATCAGATATAAAGCTTTAAAATGGCAAGAAATGCCAATTATTTGAAGAAGGAATTGGCCACAATGGCCTTTAGGAAAGAAACAAGTTAGGAACATTTATTGTTAGTGTCAGACTGTGATGCAAAAAAAAAAAAGTTCAGAATGGGACATGTGGTAGAGCCAGTACATTTCAGCATATGCTTGGATAGATTTTCATGGAGGAAGAGAGATGAGAGGGASTACAGCTTGTACTGGGGACAGTTCTCTTACATTGGTCATGTAGAGCTGTGAGATCATAGTCAAATGCCATTTAAAGATTTGTAAGAAATAAAAAGTAATTTAGAAATGTAATAGAAAAACACAAGAATAAAAAACAATTTAGAAAAAATGTAAAACTAGAGACTCTTCTACCCTGCTAATAAAAAAAACCCAAGGAATCCACATCTTCAGTTAAATGTCACGTTGCTTGTACATGCCATGCCAGGTCTTCTTCTTGGGAAGGCAGAAAGGTGGTTGGAATGGGGACCCATGCCATAAGCTGCATTTGCTCCACTATAGCTTCCGTCATCTCTGCTGGGTTTTTCAGACCAGAGAACACTGTGGAAGGTAACGTTGTGCTCATACTGTTCTTTCATCCGTTGTATCTTTTCCTGAGGGACGAGATGAGTATTTCCTCTGTAGAGTCAACAGTAACAGAAAATACAAGTACTTAGCTGCCTGTGCATGAGAGATTGTTTTCAGTTTGCTGAGGGTCTTGATAGGTTCAATATAATGGTTCAGATCTCCACTGATCTCTTTCAGGCCTGGGTTTTTTTGGTTTTTTTTTTTTCAAATTATTGTTCATTCCCACCTACTTCTTAGGAATATTATTGTGACTGCTGAAAAATGTAACATCACTAYTTTTTGGGGGCAGACAGGACACAGGAAGTTGACAAGTGTCTGAAATGAAAGAATTATGCAGAAGACCTGTGTCGTATTTTATATGATACTGCTGTGTTTTAGCACTGACAGTTTGTTGGCCTCAGGGTGAGCATTTTTTTTTTTTCTCAGCTGGGGCAATGCAGCCAATGGCTGCAGCCAACTCAGACACTGCCCTAGCTGTAAGGATAGAGGTCAAAACTGTTGTTGCTTTTGAGAGCAAGTAGTGAAACATCACACATGATGTGGCTCAGGCTCCAAGGTAGACTTGTAAATGACAAGTTTGAGAGGGAGGGGAACAAATGCTCAAGCAGGGCTTCGTGGATAGAGTAACAACAGCCATGATCCCTTTGCAGATTTGTGGGAATTGTCTTTCCAAAGACCACCAGGAATTTCTGTTTGCCTGAGTCTGCAAACCCTGAATATCTGGGTTCGCCATTTAGCACTAYTAAAGCGCAGCTTGTGCCCTGGAATCTAAGTTTGCCCTACATCCATATTTTCAAAACCTGTTATGCAAATCCTGCCCCGCTAAAAGTGTTTTATCCATGGTGGAACTGGCGTGGGATTTACACTGCAGGCTGCCAGCTGCAGCATCCAGCACGTGAGGTGGGCAGGAGGTCCTGCAGCAGCCCCCACTAGGGGCAGCACCCAGCACAAGCTGCACTGCTGGTGAAGATACGTGTGGAAGCATTGTGGAAGTAATCTGCAGCTCTCCCTGAACCATTCGCCACAGAGTTGCTCCAAACTGTGTGTGTGTGTGAATAAGCCTCACAATGCTGCTGGGGAAAGTCAGTTTGTTTCAAATATTTAATGAAACAAATTGTTACTAGCTCAGCCTACAAGGAATGGTCAGTTTCTGCCCCTGCAGTGCTGCCCTACCAATGGCTGGTGCTGCTGAGGCCAGAGTTGGTTGACAGCTCAGGTTGGTGGTGTCCTCACCTGTCCTCAGCCCCAAACCATCATCTGCCATGTGCTGCCTTCCCCTGCAGCCACGAGCACTCTGGGCTCTGGCCCTCTGCCATTTGCATCCATCACACACAGGAGCAACATTAATTTTTGGCTGGTACAAAACAAATCCATCCATTGGAATGAAGTACCTGTGCCTTGTCTTCTTGCAATAACAAGTTAACATGTGTCAGCTTCTGGATTTGGTAGTTGGGAGAGCACTGTTCCCTGTAATGCACTTTGCATCTGGTTGGCTAAAGATTAGGAAGTCAGCCTGCATGAATCTTTTTGGTGACTATAGCCATTAGCCCTGGAATCACCAACATTCTTAGAGCCACATCCTCCTGCCTCTATATCCTAACACATTGTGCAGAGTTGATACATTCTTTGTATCCCTTCTGTATATGTGTTGAGATCTTTACAAAGATCCTCCAGAACCCCATTTCTTAATCACACATGGTGTACCATCCCTGCATGCTGCAGGAGAACAGTGTTTGTTATGGTTAGATTCTTAAGAGCAGAAGTCTGAATATTGTCTATAGTGCTTAGATACGGGTTTGTGCCCAAAGASACTGCTGCTCAAAATACAGAATAAAAATCAGAACTCCTGTCCCATCAGGCTTGCAGCACAAAAACATGCTTCAGAGTCTGCTGCTTTTTCTACTGCCTGATTCACTTTCAGGGCTGAATTCACTACAGACCAGGTGCWCAGTAAGGGAGATTTTCTACAACAATCCTTCTCTTGTCATTTACCAGGCTACATTTTAGGGTATATGAAGAGGAAGAGGCTGATCTTCTCAGAGCACATCAACAAAATGAGAAGCTGTCTGCTCTGTCAAAGAGAAAAAAACATACCTTGTGAGTTCGTGAACATTGAACTTCCAGGGTGTATCTGGTTCTTGAAATGTAACTTCATATCTATTTTCACATGCCTGAAGGACACAAAAGTTTTAGACATGTGACATTATGAAACTGCACTAAATTGCCACCTCTGCCAGAACTCCTGATGAGAAACACCATCTTCAAATATGTATATTTTTCACAAGTCATGAACTACGATTGTAAGTAACATCTTGATATATTTGTCAACAAATTGCTCGGGRACTGTTTGATCCATGTCACTACTGGGGAAGGGGATGACGTCCTGATAACCAAGAAGTGACAGGGCAGGTTCAAAGGCTGTTAATCTTTCAGAGTCATTTTGTCTTCACTGGATTACACAGCGGCCCAACTGAACAACTACATTGGCATCTCTGCCCCTACTTCAYCACAATATCCATCCTCAACTCTAATTAGAGGTAAATGGAAGTAAATATTTTTTAACCATGTAAAAAACCTTTTCAGTCAGATCACCTTGTAAATGTAATTGCTGAGGATATAAAAGCAATAAATTGGAGCTTTCCTTACCATCATCACATATGGCTTCATTTCCCAGGCATGGATGTTGGTGTTATCAATAATAACCAGGCTTTTCCCCTTCTTCATTGCTTTGTGTGCTGCAACGTAACACATTAAGTAAAGCCAAAATACATCCAATAAGAGACTGAGACAGACCTTACTAGCCCCAAAGTGTCCTTTCTTTGCCCACTGCTCACACGCTTGGTTCCCCACCAGACTTGGGTTTGGCAGCTACCACCCAAAAGGGAGCCAAGGTCAGTGCCCAGCATCTCTCCTGGAAGAGGTGGTGCAGCCTCTGGCTGATCTGAAGCTCTTACAGAACATATTTACAACAGCCAAAGTTACTGTCTTTTGYAAAATATCCCTGTTATGTATCTCAAAGTATGTCTGCCATTGCTACAAATTCCTTCAGAGCACAGCCACAAATGCAAGGTACAACGAATAGAGATGTGGGTTGTTTAATTCTCAAACTTAAAACTCAGTTTGCAAGTTTTCCTCCTGTCTGTCATTACCTTCCCACCYCCTTCCAGGTCAGGATAGGCACTTAAGGAGTTACCAGCAGAGGCTGCAGTGCCTACATGGTTGGGAGTGGCTACAGGGCTGGTGTATGCAGGGCACCAGCTGGTGCTTCCCATTAGTCATTGCTTTACTCTCTAAAATTATATCAATCAACCTCCAACATATTTTCATTTACAAATTTCCCTTTTGTAAGTCAGAAAAAAATCAAATCAGAAGTGGTAAATGTATTTTCTTTTAGCCAACACCCCATGAACTGCAGCRTATTATACCACTTCAAGATGTTTTATTTTGGGGAATAAGTTTAAGGCCTGAAATCCAAAACTATTCTGCACAACTCCTGGATCAAGTTCAGTCACCTCTTTTTGGTTCCACTTGTGTGCATCCTCTAGGAAGTCAGGCTCAAAGATGTAGACACCATTTTCGACAAAGAAGTCATCAGTACTATG